AGGTCTTCATTTGATTGTTCAACAGCAATCAAAGCGATATAAGGCACAACTCTGGCAACACGAATAACACTGTCAACACGGGTAATGCATGACCCAACTAATAAGTTTAAGAGCCGAAGTCTAAAAAATGAGATCGTAACGTTGTTATGTGGATTTAAACGTGAAATTGGTACGGTAAAGCCCCGCCACCTCGAAAGCAGTGGCTCGGGAAAATTGCGACTGTGAATTTCTCATTTTTTTGGGCCTTTGGATATGCTGAGTCCCGCACTGCGCATGACACTCTCAAAGTCGTCAAGGAGGTGCTTTCACGGTGTTTTCCAGCCTTGGAGGTTGATGAAGGGGCTGGTCGAGCGATTCCCGCTAACAGGCGCGGTTAGCTACCTGAGCAGGTGGAGTGACTCCCATACATTCTCATACAACCAGTCGCTGTTTTGTCGGGAACCTCTCCTCTAGCCCCTTTAGCAACTCCAAGGTCGGGAAGCGCCACAAAAAGCACTTTCTTAACAACTCTGAGAAGTTTCAAGAACAGTTCTGGACTTACAAGGAAAGCATACCAACAAGTAGATTTGGAATTAGCGTTAAGATGCGTTTATTGATAAACATCGCTTTTTGATTTGCCAGATCATGTCATTATCCTTCTTTACTAGTAGGTCCAGAAGGCCAACGAGGGATGGGAAGCTCGCATACGCAATTTTTCCGAGCCGCTGTTAGATATCTATCAACCCAAGGTACTTTTTCGTTATTCGGCCTTTTTTCCAAAAAGCTCTCATATAATACGTTCTTTAGTCTAAGAATGAATTTTCATAGATTCTTCGAGGACTGCCTCCTTGCCACATGTCACAAAAAATTGGCACGTTTTGGTCCATTTTGACATGTTTTTTCTTCTCGAAGTCATTTCCGGTTAAGTAAAAGAGAATTTGTGATCATCTTAGGGCTGTTTAAGTGTTCTACATAAGAGCAAAACAATCATGAACTTACTTCAGAACTTCTTGCTCCAACATTCAAAAATGTCTTTCTCTTCAAACCCTTTTCGCCATGCGAATTTAGCCAGAAAAGACTATGAATACTAGCTTGAAGTACCTTGCTGCCGCTTATTTCGCCTTTTGGACGGAATCCTAGCGCATTTCTCTATTCTGAGCAATTTATATTTGCTCATCGATAATAGTATGTCGATATTATTATGATCATGCTCGCTTTGAAACTGTTTGATCGAAATGAGGGCATGACAAAAAACGGATTGAAGGTAGGGTAACACAAACTCTTGGTAAAACCTATTGAACATGTAGATTACAGTCAAATTTTTTGACACGTGGCAGAAGGTTGACACTCCTTCCTGTGAAGGGACCACATATGGTACAAGAATAAAAGCAATATCCTTCTTTGAAAAAATGGGTCCGGGTAACGGAAAAGTATTTGACAAAATGTTCATGCAGCAAAGCACAATTAAGAACTCTCAAATAAATTAAGTAAGTAATATCTCAAATAAGTAATAGTAATAGTGGTAAGTTGATTAGTCAACATGCCTAGATGAACGTCAGCGGTTGTTACGCCAGTATGCAAATGGTATTGCTCTGAAGGATTAACTCTCCACAGTCTCCACAGTCAAACTGCGATACTAGTGATTATGAACTCAGAACGCGAAGGGTCACATCTGGTTTTTGCTGAATGAGAAAATATGACTCACTACAAACTTGCGGAAGTGCAGAAGTACACCTCTTACATGCAATTATAAAGGTATTTCAAATTCAAGAAAAAAACTCAAAAAGGTCAACATCATCGTTCTCTCGAAGTTTTAATTCCACGATTTCAAGCACAAGGAATACAAGCACGGCAATTATGTATGATCTTTGCGTCTGCTATACAGTGACCGCCAAAAAGTTGCAGATAAGTCGCCCTCCTTGTTTCATCGCTCATTTTCGGATGGAAAACAAGGATGAAAATGGTTGGATTGCATGAGATGATAGAGCTCTGCAAGAGCTACAACCCACACTTTGCGCTTTCTGGAAAATGTGTATTCTAAAAACTTTAAAAATCTTTTATTAGAAAAGGCCCGAAAATAGCCGCGTCACAATATCGCGGACAATAACTCTTCAAACGCGAAAATTTTTTCATAGTTCTTTGGAGCAAAAATAAAAGTTTTCCGGGCAGGTACATAAGCATACCATATCATAGAGCTCATCGAAGACAACAGCAGGTAGTGGCTACTTCCAAAAACCAAGCTTGAATAAAAAAAGCAAGCTTGAATTTTGTTTTGTTTTTTTTAGAGAATAACTTCTGTTTTTCTCTTTCAGAGCAAATTTCTTCACATGGAAACCTATTTAAGGCATCCCAACAAAGCTGTTCGGATAGAATCGATGCTCTCTGCCATCCTCTAAGCATCGAACGTGTGCTGGTGATCTTGGCTGAAAATGACTCCTGACAGTGCGTGCACATGACCCTGCCTGCACCTTACCACTGACTTGCACCCAGGGCCCGGCACCGATGTTTTGGGGTCAAACTGGACTTCGTTTTTGGAGTTGGAAGCAACGGGGACATCGTTTTCATGAGGTCCTGGAGGAAGCGCCAAAAAACACGACGAACATGTCAGGTTTCACGAGTTGAACGTGTTCTTTCGCAAGCGAATTTCAAATGCAAGACTCAAACAAACAAATGGCTTGTTCACAGCGCACAAACAATCACAAGGCTCCGAATTCAGGCTATGAGTACACAATATTACTTCAAACTATGTTGTGTAAAAAGTTCTCAAAACTTATGTGTCTGAATAGCCGTTCCGGATTTGTTGGTTTCTAGACCAACCACCGAACCAACTTGGTTGGTTCGGAGCATAAATTTCGGAGAGTTCACATAAGTTTTGGACCTTTTTGATTTGGACGATTAAAACGCTCAAAAATCTATTATATAGTGAAGAGAGCGAATCAAACTATTGCCTCTCCTCTTCTTTTGAACTAAAAGTAGTGCAAATCTATACGCCTTGATAGATATTGCGCTCCAACCACAGCGGTGTCCTTTGAACTATGTGGCGAAAAACGCACTGCCAGATTGTTGAGGCCACAGATTTGGTTGGCCTAGGAGGTTCTCGACATTCTGAGCGCTAAAATGGTACACTCCCAATGACAGAGCCTTTAATCAACTCGAAATGTTTTCTTTTTGCTTTTTTGTTGTATTAGTTACCTCAAAATGCGCTTTTTTCGCTTTTTTCAAATGTTATTTTGACTAATTAAGGGTTTCCCTACTGATTTTTACGTCAAGAGGGACTTCGTAAATTTTCGCGAAGTCATGGGGGACTTCGTTTCCGGAAACGCTTCAAACCAACGCGTGCCGGGCCCTGCTTGCACCGCTTTGTAGGCTTGTAGCTCAGCCGTCAGGCACTCTATCAGCCTATTTAGGCTCATTCGAAAGGGCATGACTTCCTTGGCAAGAGGGTATGCAAACGAGATGAGTTCGAGAAATAACGGAGATTTTACGGATGGGGTGAAAAAGTGCAGCGTTAGAGGTGACTGGAGTGAAGGCTCTCATGAACACGAACAGTCTTAGAGCTCCGAAATGGATCTATTACAAGAAAATTAACAGTTTTAAACTTCCAGGAAGGAATTGGTGGCGAAAAGAGCTTTGCTCAACTTTAGCTGAAAAATTCTCAGCCAATAACTGAAGCTGCGCTTTTTCACCCCATCCGCAATTCCTCGGAACTTCTCAAACTCAACTCGTTTGCATACCTTCGTGTTGAGGTAGTCACGCTCTTTCGAAAGAGCCTATGCGCATGCTTGTAGAGTGACGCCGGCTGAGCTACACGCCTGCAAAGCGGTGCAAGTCAGCGGTGAGGTGCAGGTGGGGTCATGTGCACGCTCTGTCGAAAGCCATTTTCAGCAAAGTGCAAATAGTATTTACGGTTATATTTACCAGATTGCTCCGCGCCGTCGCTCGCCAGATGGCACTAGATAAGGAGGGAGGAGCGGTTTGAAGACAGTGAGGAACCGACGACCAACGAGCCACCTCGTCTATGGGCTCAGATCTCTTTATTCTGATGTTGTTTGTTATTTGTTTTCCCAGGATATCGATACTCATTGTTATTTTGGTGCTATAGCGATAAACGCGTGTGTTGGAAAGTGTTTTTGGACGTCCGAGGCTAAGTTATGATCTAGTATGGTATTTGCCATTAAGAGGGTGGCAACATATCCATAAGTAAAGAAACTCACCAGCACATGTACGATGCATAGAAGATGGCAAAAAGTACCCATTTAATCCAGTCAGCTTTGTCGGGATGTCTCAAATAGGATCCCATGTGAAGAAATTCGGCTTAAAAAAGGAAAAGAAGTTATTTTCTGGAAAAAAAAGCAAAGTAAAATTCAAGCTTGGGATTTTTTTGGAAGTCTTTGATGAGCTCTACAACATAGGATACTTACCTGTTCGGAAAACTTCTGTTTTTGCTCCAAGAAAAGGACTTAAAAGAAATTTTTCGCGTTTGAAGAATTATTGTCCGCGACATTGTGACGCGGCTATTTTCAGACTTTTTTTAGAAAAAGATTTTTGAAATTTTTATAATACATGCTTTCCAGAAAGTGCAATGTGTGGGTTGTAGCTCTTGATGGGCTCTATCATCACATGCATTTCAATCATTTTCATCCTTATTTTCCATCCGAAAACGAGGGATGAAACAAGGAGGGCCACTTGTCCACAACTTTTTGGCGGTCACTGTATGTGATGACTCCAAGTTGGAGGTGCGTTGAATTTTGTTATGGGTGGATCTGATTATTGGGGTAATAACATTTAGCTTTTTGCTTCATACTTTCCGTGGATCACTCAACGGATATCTGACAATACCTTTGTCAAGCTCACTTCATTATGGATGAAACCAGTTGCCGTTTTCTTTCAGTTCACCTGTGCTTTAGCTTGAAAAGCAATTACTAATCTTTCTTTCCAACTTGAGAGGACGTGACAACGGGGAGCCAAATGATAGCGAATTTTTTTCTTGTCTTTTTTCAAAATAAATGAAATTTTAAGGTCCACTTGTCTGGCGTAGAAGATGGAACGTCTTTTATACACAGACAGCATAAAACTCTCAATCTCAAACAATTATTACGAGGTAATAAGTCAATAGAAAGGTGACAAAATAACAAATATTGGATTATCACAACTACTGGACAACGAAATTACAAGTAACACGATTTGTAAGACCAAATTCTATACAATCACCTGGGATCACTCTAGAAACTCCAGCAGGTGTACCTGTGAGTAGAAGATCGCCTTCTTCCAACGTCACATATCGAGTGATGTACTCTATCAAGGTTGGAATGTCAAAAATCATTACATTTGTTTTACATCGTTGCTTTTCAACTCCGTTGATGCGGCAGAATAACTCTTCGGAGTGGGGATCCTCGATCTAGAACGAAAAAATGGGAATAAGGTGAAGAGAATGTTTTTTAATAACCCCTTTTGAGTTGGGTTTGATCACGGCTTTTCAGAAAGAAATAATACTCACTTCTTCCTTGGGTATGAATTTCGATATAGGACATGCAGTGTCGAATGATTTGGACAGAAACCAAGGCGCTCCCCCTTTCTTCGCCTCATCCTGAACTTTCATGATGATATTGTGCGATTATAAGCAATATAAAAGTGACCTGAAAATCTCTCGCAGTCATATCAAGTGCAACTGCGTATCCGCCAACATATGACATTGCCTCGCTCCTCGTTACAGCCTAAAAACTCGCTTTTCATAGTTTCAACGGACAAGATATATGTCCATCCCACCTTAGCAGTTTTACCAATAACCACACCCAGTTCCACTTCTTGATGAAGTTGTTGTGAACCAACAGGTGTAACAATGGGATTTCCTTCTTGAACGAATGCGTTTGGAGACTGAAATTAAGCGAATAGCATCTGCAAGCCCGGACTATAGCATTTGTGCACTCTTCACCAAATAGCTTTTGAACGATCTAATCCATCTGCTACGCATTGCTCACTGCATTGAAGGCTTGCACAGTTTATCTATATATAAATAAAACTCAATCTCTGTAAATTTGTTCGTATGTAAGTATGTGGCTTATAGACTACTTTGTTTGTGAACCGATGAGGCTGAAGTTTGCTCCCCTATAAATGAAGGCAGGCGCAGAAGATAGGCTACTTTTTGCGATGATTCACTGGGTCCTTCTATCGATTTATTATTTGTTCACTAACATAGGGAAATGAAAGCTATATCATTCCTTTTCCCAAGTTAAGTAGTAAGGGCCGGTAGAGATCGTTTACATTTTGCGGTGAGGAAGATGCGGTGTCAGGAAGCGAGCCGGTCAAGAAGGAAATTCACAACGGATACTACACGTGAGCTGGAACTGACTTGGAGCTGAAGCAGGAGAGGAAGAGAAAATATGATCTGAAGGAAGTGGAGGAATGGTAAGCAAACATCTTAAAGCAGACGGGCCATTTTGGACCCTTGGCCCGGGCGGGATCGGGGACCGCAGCTAGTTCAAAATATGGCTTCCTTCTCATTTCAGTCATCTCCACATATAGGGCATTCAAAAAATCGTGACGATGGCGCGACCGCGCGCAGCACGCACGCACCTCTCCAACCGCATTTTCTTTGTTTTCATATCTACTCGAATAGTTTTCCTGCTTACACATGACACATTTAGACATTAAAAGTGACTGAGCTGGGAGCTGAGGTGATGCTTTTTTGTATGAATGTCTTCAGCTTCTGTGGGCGCAAAGACCGCAATCCGTCGTCGCGATTTTGAAAACGACTATACATAGCTTTGTAAACCTATACATATACTATACCACATCGCTCACTTTGACAAGAATTGACTTCGTTTTCATCATTTTTCGGAAAAAAGGGGACTTTTCTGCTAGATCTATGTAGTGATACGACTGACACTACTACTACATTATGAGCTGATGTGGACAAAGCGGGTGGGGACGTCGCTTACCTCGCCGCAGATGTGTTAGTGCATACGGGGGATAAGTGTGAAAATACTGCGCCTGAAGCTAACAAGGGAAGCGGTTTAGTCGAATTGGCCTTTTCGGATGAGACCCATACTGCTTTGGCGAGTAATGCATAGTGATTTCAAATCCGCCCTCAAAATCTAAAAGCGCCCCTGGTTGCCGATTTATGAGCGTTTTTCGGATCAAAAACTGAGCGCAAAACTGGAACAAAATCTCCCATTTGCGTAAATGGTCCGGTGTCGAGTATCAGAGCAGTTCATGCAATGGATGCATTTTCTCTAATATGCTAATAATTAACATTGTTTTTTAGTGCTGCAAAAGATTGTAACAATTGTTTTACCTAAATTCTGCATTAATTTTTCGTTCCAAAAAGCGGTCATAGGCTTTGGCCATACTTTATCCGTATTACCGGTGTTATCAGTGTTACCCGTGTTACTAGTATTACCGGTGTTACTAGTGTTACCAGTGTTACTCGTGTTACTGGTGTTACCCGTGTTACTCGTGTTACTGGTGTTACTACTGTAACCGCTTTTACTGCTGTTGAATAGTGAAATGATCACATTACAGTCTCATTTTAAAACGCAATATCCGACTTTTGAGTAACACGAGTAACACCAGTAACACTGGTAACACTGGTAACACCGGTAACACGGGTAAAGTATGGCCAAAGCCATAACTCGGCGTTCAGCGTCCAGTGGCGTCGCTTGGCAGATAATGAAGACAGATTTAGAGCCACCGTTCAATGCTCTTTAAAGTGGTATGAGTCTCATTTGAAAACGCCATTTCGACTAAAAACGCTCCCCTTGTAAGCAGCAAAGATTTAGAAATGCAGTCTCGTTCTCATTATGAAAGAAATTTCGACATTACGGATATTGCAAAGCCCATTTTCGGCACTACCTTCAGGCCATGTTGATGGAAGCAGAAGGGCTGCCACTACCGTATGTACCTTCTGGACAAAGTTTTTGCTACAGATTTCACTAGCGGCAAAGCTTGGATAGTTATTTAGTTGACGGCCTCCTCGAACTGAATGGACGGTGCTTCAAATGTTTTTCCTTTTCAGTTCTACAACACCACAAACCACCGCGAGGCTTTGGTCAGAGAATACTCGCAAATGTCTCACGGTCTATCTATCTGTTAATGTCTGTTATGTCACACGGTGCTTATGGCTTCAGCGAAACAAAGGTTTCTGATTTCATTCTGAGATTTTCAGAAAATAGGTCTTACGCCGAATGAAAAAGAGAGCCCGATTGGACTTCGAGAATGTGGTGTGATACAGACGTGTGCATTCCAAAGCATAGAAAGATATTGCAACCCAGAACCGTCACATGATTTTCACTCGAGAAGGTCTATTTTCGTAAAACGCTTCATGTATGCAAATATGTAGAGTTGTTGAAACAATGTGACTATTTAAGAAAGCTCACCTTCAGAAAAAGAAGTGGTTTGGTCGGAATGGGATTTCCGAGTTCCAGTGCATGGTCCTTGTAATTTCTTCCCACGCATACAATCTTTTTGGCAAAATTCCGAAAATTTGCCAAGTTGGCCATATCTGAATGTGACATGCCCCAAATAGAATTACGGCAAAAAGGCGCCACAATGACCAAATGCTTATCTTATCAAAGGAATCTGAATTATTCGTTTATCAATCATGCATACACTAAAGTTAAACTGATAGCAACACTAATTTTTGGAAAATGATTCAATCAGTAATGACGATATGTTCGCGAATAGTGACAAGATTGCACCCATGTGTACAACTTAAAAATTTTCTATGCAAAGGCCGTCTAGGTAGACGACGAACAAGAAAATCAGTGTTTGGTTTATTCCAAATTTTTCTAGTGAAGCGAACCGCACAGTGGAACCATCGCTGCCAACAAAGTGCATTTTATACATCAAATTCTTCACATTTATTTAGTATAATTCATGCAAAGCTGCTGGCATGGGCGCATTCATCACATTCATAAATTAAGTTGGTTCATAATTAATGCACGTTCTGAACTTCGACTTTTGTTCAAGAAAATTCTTTTCCAAAACAATCTTCCTGATCGCATTGAAAACTATTGGAAACGTCAAACTTCTAGCTATACAACACACTTTTGTATAATTGTACTCATTGGAGGTATGATTTCCTGGCCAAAAATTGCCAATAGTTTTTCTGTAACTCATTGAGAAAGCATGCCTTGCTCTTAAAATACTAGAATAAAGCAAACTTTGAATGTATAGTCGATGGTCAATTGATAGTGTGAAATGTGAAGTTTGGATTCGGAAACTTCTGCGAAGAAATATTACCAAGACAGCAAAGATACTCATTTTTTTGCATTTTGTGGAGGGCAAAAACTGGGTTTTTCAGATTCCTCCAAACTTATCGTCTGATTGTGATAAACGAGGAAATCCTCCGTTTCCCTATCCGGTAGTACTAGGTTCACTCTACCTGCGCACAGCGAAAGTTCTGCTAAGCGGGCTTTCAAACAATGCAAAAGGTTTAGAAGAGAAACGGTTTTGCTTCGAAAACTAGCATTTGGAAGAAGAGGTACGAAAAACGTGCATTGAGTAAGGCTTACCCTACCCCACCCTGCCCTAATGGAATCGCCCTACCACAATTCCCTCGCTACTCGTTTTGTTTCGCTTAGCAAAATGGATTAAAATAGCGATAAATCCCAAACATTTGACGCTTTCCCAGTTTCGCCAGATCAAAAAAGGTAGGTACCACTACCTTTCTCACTACCTTGACCAGATGAGAGGATGCAGAGTGTTATTAACACGTTTCGGACCGGTGCTGCACATGGTGCAGCACACTGCTTTGAAGGATCTTTCTGAAGTTTACAGGAGGTTTTCTTTTAAACCAAGGTTATCAAGTCAAAGGCCTAAGCTCCTACTTTTCACATGACTCCGTAGAGTTGTGCCGCCTATATTTGTTTAGGAGATATGAGGACAAATCGAACAACAGTTGCAACGGAGTGCGGCAACGCTAACGACGCGTGCGACGTCGCAACTTTCCTTTGCTTCGATTTCAAAAAGAAAAACCCTAGTTTCAATAGTGATGTGTACCGTGTATAACATAGTTACTTTTGAATACTATCTGAAACTGAGTTCTTGTTCCTATCTTTCAAAAAAGCGCAAAAGTCCCTCTCAAGCGACAAAATTCAAGCACTTCGAGTTCACTCGGAACTTTGGGTACGGAGCTTATCTGAACTGCTGATTGGGACTCGAACTATGGCCCAAAAATTTACGAAAACTTATGTGAATGAAAGCTGTGCTGAACTTTTTTCTGAATTAGCTGGCACCGTGCCAGCTAGATTCCAGCTGAGCTGGCACCGACCCTTTGCTCACATAAGTTTCCATACTTTTCTACATGAATTGTATCTGCATTGTAAAAGTTTACATACAGAGCAAAACAATTTCATAATGTTTTCTTTTTGGCGTTTTATAGCCATATGAAAATTCCTCGGTCTGCTCCGCTTGAAAAATCTGCTCCAACCACAAAGCGCGCCCTAAGCAAATGCAAAACACGTCAAAGGGGGTGCGTGGCGTTAGGTACCCAGCCGAGGTGCGGGCGTTAGGTACCCAGCTATTAGTGGTATACACTAGGCCACGCCCCTTGGTTGCTTTAACAGCGCGTACCTAACGATACACCGAATCACAGCTGCTAGAACAGCTCAACTTGTTCGCCAAAGCGTTGGCACTTGTGACCCACAGAAAAAAGATAGTTCGAGGAAATCAAAAAAAAATTGCGCGAATGAAAGCACAAGTTTGTATACAAAGTTTTTTTATTGTTTCCTTTTTTAACCAACTTTAGAACGCAGAATGTCGGTGATGAAAGTTAAAAACAGAGTTAAGCTTTTATGAGCACTTCATAAAATTTTAGAAATCGTGATAATATGATCTAACTACAGTGCTGGCCATAGCTATAAAGCCACCCTAAAAATCACCGTAATTTGCTCCTCTTGCTCATAAAAGTGTGAAAAACAACTGTTTTGTGCGCACACTAACGTCATACCATTGACCAGAACGGCTCCCAATTTCATGGATTTTGGTTGGAGGAAAATTGAAAAATTTGAAAAAACGGGTTCCGAAGGCTGGTCACAGCTATAAAGCCACCTCTCATTTTCAATCAGTACTGCGTTTTTGAACCTCAAATTTTTTGTACATATACAACATCAAAATGTAAAACATTTGTTACACTTGAGAGGAGTCGCCTTTCAAAAAGAAGATTCGTACTGCATTTTTTGCTCTAGAATGCATAATAAGTCACATCACTTGCAAAAAACTGCTTTTTCACTGAATTTTGAAGCACTTGTTTGACTAGGATGAAGGTCCTAGGATTTGCTTAGCCTTTGCAATGAACGAGGTGAAAAGTGCTGAACTCAACATTGCGTAGTCGCTAATCTTGATAAACGAGCCTCATCTTACCGAGGTTTAAGCACGCTTCTGAGGCGCAAAACTCAATTTCTGACGCGCGAAAACTTCTGGTTGAAAGTTGACACCTTGTCTGCATGGCGACGTACTCATGCAGAAGCTGTCAGGTTTTTATGCAAAGACCTATTTGCCGCATTAAAGTTAGAACGCTTTGTCTGCAGTTCGGTTGTGCGCAGTGTATCTCACAAGACTCCAGATTTTCACTGCTTTGAACTCCTCATCAAGTCAAATTTTACTAAATTGTCAGGAATAGTAGGATTTGAAGTTTTGAGCGGTTCGCTCGATCGAGGTGGTTAGAGTGGGTCATGATTAGACGGAGTGCACCACTCATTTTTGGAAAAAAGGCGTCCAAAGCAGAAGCAGAATCCATAGAGTTGCGATGACGTACAAGCTATGCGCACGAAACTATCGTTTACAAGCGACGTGCTGAGCACGCGACAGAGCTTTTCGGGCATTAAAACTCAATTTCTGCGGTTCAAAAACTCGTCTACCTGGAGATGAGGTTGGGGCTCGTTTATCAATATCAGCGACAACGCAATGTTGACTCAAGCGCTTTTCGCCGTATTCATTGCAAAGGCTCGGCAAAGCATAGGGCCTTCATCCTAGTCAAACGAGTGCTTCAAAAATCAGTGAAAAAGCAGTTTTTTGCAAATGATGTGACTTATTATGCATTTAAGAGCAAAAAATGCAGTACGAATCTTCTTTTTGAAAGGCGACTCCTCTCAAGTGTAACAAATGTTTTACATTTTGATGTTGTATATGTACAAGAAACTTGAGGTTTCAAAAAACGCAGTACTGATTAAAAATGAGAGGTGGCTTTATAGCTGTGACTAGCCTTCGGAACCCGTTTTTTCAAATTTTTCAATTTTTCTCCAGCCAAAATCCATGAAATCGGGAGCCGTTCTGGTCAATAGTATGACGTTAGTTTGCGCACAAAATAGTGGTTTTTCAGACTTTTATGAGCAAGAGAGAGCAAATTACGGTGATTTTTAGGGTGGCTTTATAGCTATGGCCAGCACTGTATGATGTCAACGGGAATTTCAAAAAGTAAACTTTGTAGAATTTCAACAAACCAAAATTGTATGATTTCAATGAAGCAAGGCGCACTTTCGGTGATGCTCCTAGCAAATAAGTTGCAGGGAATATTTTTTACACATATTGTCGTCGGCCTCTTTTGAGGTATGAAGTTAAGGGTCGTAACCTTTGCGTTAATACTGCCATAGGGATTGTGAACTACATTATCGTAGATTATTAAGGCCATTATTTCGGTGCTGGGGCCAACAGATATATGGGACATTACCATTTGATTCAACTGGCATGGCATCGGCAAAGGCGGGGCGCTTCGTGACCTAATTAAGGCTAGGTAATGATCAGAGAGCACTCACGCGGGAGGCCGGGCGTTAGGTACCCAGCCGAGGTGCGGGACTTCGTAGGAAACTTTAAAGTCAAAGGGGACTTCGTTTTAGAATTTCCCTGGTGCCAGCTCGTGCCGAGCCCTGGCTCTAACGCAAGAGGGAAAGCAGCAGGGGCGGGGTCTTCCCAACTGTGAATTCACCTCCCAGCTTACTGAGCGATCTTCTAGGTTCCGATTTCAAGTTATGCGTTCATATTTGACCGTGTTGATGTCAGGGCGGCTAGCGGAATCAAAAGGATCGTTCCAGAAGCTGGGAGTGTAAATCTACAGTGGGGAAGACCCCACCCTTGCTGATTTCCCCTCCTGCGTTAGAGCCTTTTTTCGCAGTTTTCGCGCTCTTCAGGGTTTTTGGGTTCAGCAAACAGATATACTCGGATAAAAGCACAATCTCAAAATCGATTTCTCGCCTGGACACTGCCTTCAAAGGCAGTGGACTGGGGAAATTGCGACTGCGAGTTTTCCACACATACATGGCCTTCCGAATGCGCTGAGTCCAGTGCATTCAGAAGGCCATCTAGGTGTGGAAAGCTCGCAATCGCAGTTTTCCCGACACTGCCTTCGATCAAAGCGGCCATAAGCGAAGACAACTTTGCAGGAAATAAGCGTTTTCTAATGAGCTTATCCATGTCGTTAGTGACACGACATGTGGAAAAAATATTTGCGCATTGCGATTTTTGTTGATTTTTTTTCGATTTTCGTATGCGTGGTTTAGTTTTCTCCGAACTTTGCCCGGATCGTGCCGACCCTCGAACATCTTGTAGAACAGTATCTCGTACAACTAGTTTTGCTCTCCCGAATGATGTTCAATTTTACAAGGTACAACGTTGCAGTATACTTACTGTACGCTAGCTGGCTTACCCGGCTCCGCCGTATGTTCCAAATAGAAAATTCCATTTCTTAACCGATCCGGACCAAACTTGACACACATACACTTCGGGCCCCGGCGGGTGTCACAGTCCACTTTTCGCTATCGATCGATGTCGATTTTATCGATTTTTTGCAAAATTTGAGCTAGGGGGCTGGAATTTGGCAGGGGGGTGTAATCGAGCATGCTGATCACCCCCCTGTGCCAACTCCCAGCCCCGTAGCTCAAATTTTGCAAAAAATCGATAAAATCGATATCGATCGATGACGAAAAGTAGCCTATGACATCCGCCGGGGCCCAAAGTGTATGTGTGCCAAGTTTGGTCCCGATCGGTTCAGAAATGGAATTTTCTATTCGGAACATACGTACACACAGACATACATACATACAGACAGACAGACAGACAGACAGACAAACAGACATTCAGCTTTATATATAAGATTCATAACTGAATTCAGTCCGGATCCAATTCGTTCGCTAAATTGCGCACAAAAAGTTTGGAAGCTGCATTTACACAAAGAGTTAAAAGCAATTAATTTCTGTTGGTTTGACGGACGTGTGTCCCAATTATGCAAAACCTCTTTTTTGGTGTTTTTTGTTTTCTTGCTGGTCTCTACTGCAAATTAAAAAATTGCAAGGTCGAATCCGGATCAGATCCGGATCACACATATATCGCGGCCTTGCAACTGCATGACCAAAGAACCTGAGTCATAGATAACATCAAGGGAATGAGAGTACTGATTCTTGATACTGAGACTTCATTTAAAAAAAATGAGATCATGGGAGTAGGAAAACCTGAGCAACATCAAAATAAAAGACGATTTTCGCGACTGGAATGGTTGAAAATTTTTGCCACTGAATTGTACTTGGCAACAAATGCGTAGGAGGGCACACCTTACAAAAAATTTTTGCAGAACAATGTACGGCAAATAGATACCACAAATCAACAGTTGCGGTGCGAACAGCATGCACTCCTTCCCCACAAACGAAAACCTCAGGTTTTAACCATTCAAACCACTCTCTAGAAAAGGAATAAAGTAAAGCCTCAACTGTGTTTTTTTATTCAGCGAAGCTTAGCTCGAGTCCGTCATTTTATGCATACGACACAACGCAAACACGGCAAGTTTGACGGTTGTTTGCTAGACATGATGTTCGCTAGAATCAAAGCTTCGAGAACATTTGTCCTTTTCCCTCTTTAGCACGTGGCTCGGTAATAGGTGATGTGGATTTGTTGAAACTTCGTCACCGTTCTCGAGACATTGCAGATGTCTTGATGTTCCTTTCCTCCAAGATAATAATCGAGAAACAATTTGTCTGTAATTCCTCCACACATTTTAATCCTAACCTTGTTGTCTTTCCACTCATACTGAAAAAAGCATTCTGTTAATTCAGGTATATCTGGAAGGGGTTGAGAAAGGAGCTATGAAGATGAAAATACGTGTAAAAATCATGGACCAGACCGATCATCCGTTTGAAGTGGATGACCAAGTAAGCTTTTTCTCTTGTATCCTCCGTGTGCGGCCCAAATTCGATTATCTACTACAAGAGCGTACCTCAAGAAAAGTGTATCGGAAATGAAATTTCCGCTTATATAAAAAAAAGGAGGCTTGTAAGGCACGAATTGTCTTGGGAAACTTCCGAAGTATCCGGGCATTTCTATGCATTTTATCGGAATAAGCTATCAGGCTCCTGTAGAACCGCCACCTTAGCGTGGGACCTTAGCAGAAGCGAACCGAGACCTTCTCTTTGAAGGCAGTGTCCGGGCAAAAACTCGATTTTGAGATTTTGTGCTTATACGGGCCTATTCGCCATGCTGAATCCGGAAATTCACACTCGAAAGCGCGAAAACGGCGAAAAGGTCCTATAACACAGGAGGGAAACAAGTGGACGGGGTCCTCCCCACTGTGGATTCACGCTTCCAGCTCCCGGCGGTCTTCTCGACTCCGCTAGCCGTCCTGACATCGCCACCGGCCAAGTGCGAACGATTGACCCAAAAGCGGAAGCGAGAAGATCGCTTTGTAAGCTTCTCACAGTACGGAGGACCCCGTCCACTTCTGACTTCCCTCCTGTGTTAGAGCCCTTTTTTGCCGTTTTCGCGCTTTCTAGTGTGAATTTTCGGGTTTAGCATAGCGAATAGGCCCGGGTAAGCACAAAGTCTCAAAATCGACTTTCTGCCCGGACGGTGCCTTTAAACATCGCAAACTATCCCTCCGCTGTCTGCCTCCCTCTCAGTTAATACACGCTGCAATGTTAGGTAGGTGCCAGAGTAAGCGAATATTTTGTTCAAGTTGGGGTCGCGCGCAGATCTGGCGCTACTAATCATTGTGGCACAACGCCAAGTTGGCATTATGCCACAATGATTAGTGATGCCAGTTCTGCGCGGGACCCCAACTTGAACAAAATATTCGCTTACTCTGGCACCTACCTTATGATCATGAGGGTCCTACAGCGATCGTGCGTCTCTACCTTGACGGGCTCGCATCCCCTCATCTTTGATGGAAGCTAGGTTTTGGGCCCGAATGCACTAACATCCCTGCGGCGAGGGGAGCGACGTCCCCAATGATGTAAAAGTCGTAGCGGCGTCCGCACGCGACCCCTTCATAATGGGGAATGCCGCTCCACTCGCCGCAGGGATGTTAGTGCATACGGCCCTTGATGTGACACAGTAGGGAACGTCCCTAGATTGCCGGCCGGTTGCCAGCGTTGCCTGGGTCAGGACAGCTTGAAGAGCGCGCGAGACTTGGAGGCTATCATGAGGTCCTACAACGACCGACAACCCCGGCAACCGTTGCAGGCCGCCTATTGGCCATCCCCGTGAAGGAGCCCCTAAATGGGTAATCCTCAAATCCTGCTATAAAGAGGAATGCCGAATTGGGAAATCGATCCTGGGGGAGCGGCGATTCTGCTCATCAACGGGGTGATAAAGAGCAGTCCATTTCGGCTTTAGTATATTTGTCTTGTTACAAAGCCTTTCATTTCGATTATGGTGTATTTTTGTCGCAAAGCCATTCAAGTACTATTCCACATTAGTTGACCCAAAAAGTGAAAGGCGCAGATTTTGCTGAAACTTCGTCTAGAGGGATTATTTTGCACGCTGATTACAAAAACCACACTTATTTCGCACCGTATTGCTATCTAGTAGAGTTACGGTAGGATCATGGTAGGGTGTCAAAATCACGGATTTGCGCCAAACCTCGTCTGGGTGGTAATTTGGCACGCTAAACATGAAAATCATGTTTATTTCGTACGGTAGCGCCATTTTCTCGGGCTACTTTGGATATACGGTGATGACTAGAAATCCCGAATTTGCTCAAACTTTGCCTAGAAGGATTCCTATGCATGCTATTTCAAACAACGTGCCCTTTTCGCCGTGCTGATCATGTATATCGCACTCATCTCGCGGAATAAGGCCCTTTCGTGGATTTTTGGGATCTAAAAATCCCGTATCCAATCCAATTTGGCTCATAAACGAAAAAGTTGCTCTTCCACGCACTGTAGCTCTACAATAGCGTTCGTTGTTCCAGCGAACGCGCTTGATATTTGCAATCAGCATGCATATGAACCCCTTCAGGTAAAGTTTTGATTGGATTCGGGATCTTTAGCCATTTATCGTACACCCACCGTAACCCGAAAAAATGTCCAGCTTACCAAAAACTCCCGTAGACGAAGTTTAGATCAAATCCGTGATTTTGACCCCCTACCGTAATCCTACCGTAACTCCACCGAATTTCACTACCGCGCGAAATAAATGTTATAGTAATCAGCGTGCAAAATAGCCCCTCTAGACGAAGTTTCAACAAAGTCCGCGAATTTTATTTTTTGGGTCAACTAATGTGGAATAGCGCCGCCTTTCATTTTGATTACCAGATTTTTGACACTTCTAACTACACTGAAGTACAATTTTGGACTTGTTCCTACAAACCACTCCTTTTTCAAGAAGCCATTTCTCCGAGTTATCACATAATTTATGTATAGAAGGAATGAAGGGGAAAGGTCCTGAGTGCTCCATTTCATCTCTCCCATTTCTTATATACATTTTGTGGTATCTCCGCTAACGTAAATGCACCTACATTACAGACATTGCTATCGGAGTTTCGCCTTCAAGTGGCTGAGCGGCTAAGTATACCACCGGAGCGGCAACGCATGATATTTGCCGTGAGTTTGGAGATTCTACCAACAACATCAGAAGTTTAACATTTTTCTCAGGCATCAGCTTGTGATCATGTGATTTGTTCTCATTGTCAGTTTGAATAAGACACGCGCCATACTTGTTCAGCTTGATCCACTTAATCCACTTGATCCGCTTATTGGTCAGTTCAGTGAACTGACCAATAGCGAGGTGGTTGTTCACTTGATCCACTTGATCCATTCACTATAGGTCAGTTGCTTATTGGATCATTACCGAAGTGGATAAAGCGGATCAAGCGGAAGTAAAGCAGTAGTATCAAGCATGGTGCGTGCCTCCTGCACAACACAATACGTATTTGTATAGTTGCTTGTGATCGATTTGTTGTACTTGATTCAATACTGTGGAAAACAATCCATAATCTATACTTCACTCATAACAGGAATCACGTGCAATGATTAATACGTCAAATAATTTTGCTGAGCAAGGGGAAAGTCCGTAGAGTCGGTCTCCACAATCAAATATAGTCATTGAGTCTCTCATAGTGTTTGGAACAGCTCGTGCTGCGTTGAGCATTATGAGTATATCAATATATAATATCAGGTTAGCCGATACGGTTGTGTAGATCTACATTTAGGGTCATGTGCTCAAGACCGAGACCAGCACACTATCAGCTTGCGGTTTGAGAGATGGTCACGTTGTTCACCTCGTGGAACGCCCGGCTGACATGTACCACTATTATTTTGCATTGTCGTGGAAACGAATTCTACTTCACTTACAGGCCTTTCCCTCCCAACGATGGTGACTCAAGCTCCGCTCATGATAACGCGCAACCACACCATCATCACCACCGACCCCTTCGATTTCTTCAGAACATGTTTGGTCAGCAAACGAATGAGCGGGAACGTGTGACATACGTGATACCTTTTGAACGAAGTGGTATTCTCGAAGAAAATTCTCGAATAGAGGTGGTTGTTTGTCTAGGAGTTTCTTTCACATTCATTTGTTTATTCTTTTGACTTAGGGACTCGTTCGAACCGCCATAGAGAGAATACCTTATTTGACAAGTGAACAGCGAAGCAGATTCAACATACATTGGGATTCTGATAATACATTGCACATAGCGCTTCCCGCTCAAAGGTATAATTGCTCTAGATCTCAGATGGTTTTGCCACAAAAACGCTTTCAGAAATCCTCATATTGCCTCCCCTGCGTTAGAACGAGTGGCACAGATCGAGGCTTACCTTGAACAGATTGCACACTTCCATAGGGTCACTGAGGTGAACGTTTCTCTTTTGGAGGTTTTGTGATTTTGGAAAGATCCAACCAGCAAGCGGTTTTCCCGAGTGCATGATTCAAATACGTCTGTGTCAGCGACGTCCTTTCATGTTGAAATTGTTTGTGTATGGCTTAGTGACTCAGACCAGAACGAAGAAGTTTTGCACTCTCTACATTGGCTTGTGTTTTAGAATGTTCTACTAGGCAAGGCTCACAGAAATGGAGTCAGGCTGATGCTTTGAACGAAGCCATTTTCGTTTTTGTGAAAGTTGTCATAGAAAATCATTTGCGAAAGTATAAAAACGATGCAGCTTAAGTGACAATGATATCCGAAGCCACAATTTAGTTTACTTGACCAAACGCCCTATCGCATAGTCCTGCTTTGGAAGTTTTGCGATCAATGTAGAGGAGAAATGCGGTCATAACAATTGACCATCACGTCTGAGTTCTTGATGCGTTTTCGAGCTGAGCTCCACTCGCTATAGTGGGGTGTTCGAAAAGTAGAGACGTTGACGGGAGTATAAATTCGTACTCGGCACATCTAAAAAATTTGGAAGTTCAGAAATTCTGGACAGTTTTTTATTTTGTCTTAATGTCTTATGCAATATATAGTGGCGCGGAGTTTATTTTTTTTGGCGAGTACATGTGTTGGAGTATTGTAGCAGACCGTTGAATGTCTCTGCTTAGAAGATTGGCACTTGTTGTGGAAGGGATTTAGGGCAGTCTTGAGCTCCTGCTTTTAGACTCCAGCTGGTATAGGCGACAGAATAGACGAGTTTCTTGAGGGAACTCATACTTACGATCAGAACAACACCGCGGTCATGAACGACGAGTTACGTAGCATTGCAGTTGCTCTGGAACGCGAGGTACTCAGTCGATCGCGATTAAGTAAGTTTTTTTTGTATATTGATGATACTTTCTTTCAGTATTGCTGGCCTAATTCTCTCGATTGAACAGAGATTCCCTCTTTAGTAATTCTGTTGTCGACTTTCTATCTCATAATAATCATCAACTTTTTTCAGTTGATGCCTTTGGCAGCGAAGAAGTGGGTGACGAGGAGACGGATGAGCACGAAGCTCGTTTCCAGCGGTTCGAAGAGACAGAAAATAGTCCCGGATTTATCATGAGGTGCGCTGATCAGAAATGTGACAGTGGCGGTCATCAACTGCGTCGCAGATGCAGTTGCAGAAACCGAATTTTCTTTTTTCGTCCCTATTCGAACAATCTCCTTGCAAGCATATGAGAGCTACCAGATGATTTGAGTGAACGAAGTGAACTTTTTAGTGAGATCTCTCGCCTGAGCTCTTGTGCTTGTGACGTTTGGGTATGCACAAAGACTGCATTCGAATCCATCGTCGCAATTTTTTGCAGACCGCGCAAGCATTGTAGAGCATGCTCGTCGTTCAGTTAGATACGAAAATCTGGGTCCAATCACATGCCCAAATACGCGAGGAAAATACAAAATAGCTAGAATGCATGAGTCGTTGAACCCGCATCGCTGACTTAGATACACTCTATTTTCTATCTGATGTATGAATGAGTTTGACGTGCTTTGAGATGAAGGCTCTTCCAAGAAACGATCTCGAAGATTCTTTTTCATTGACGCTTTTTTTTTTCACTCGTTTCGTTCATGGTACAGTAACTGTACAATTTTATGCGAATACAGTAACTGTACAATTTTATGCGAATACAGTAACTGTACAATTTTATGCGAATAGGCGAAGCACATGACTTGTCAGCATTCGCGGTTTGTTTGGAAAGATCCTCATCTACAGGCATGCTATCGCTCCGGACTTTGTGGATTTATTGCGACGACTGCAAAGCGAACATGAAGCTTTGCGACCACATCTTATACGTCTTGAGAGAATCTTAAGCTCACGAATATTGTACAATATAGACGACGCTGAGGTATATTCTTGGTTATGTCCTCACTTTCTGAACTAACTTTGCAGCATTCTGATACGGATTATCGCGCCAACTTTTTCACTGTATACATGGAACATCTACAACGAGTCATACATCGTTTCTCTCATGCTTGGCATCTTGCCAGTGATCTCGGCGTATATCTGCACACCCCATTGCCGCGGAGACTTCTTCCAAACTACCAACAATTCCGATTATTGCCGCCCACTGATGTAAGATTGTTGTTGATTCTTTTCATTTACATGTGTTGTCTTCCTTCAGGGCCAGATTATACTGGAATTCCATCCTTCGCAAGCCGATGGCTCTAGTCAGGCTACGACGAACGAGCCGTCGTCTAGATTTCTGGATATGCCACCTCCGGGTAAACTTCTTCTTGCAAAACCTCATTATAGGTACCATCTTTTATTTTAGGCGTTGACGTAGCAGAGTTGAGTGATCAAGAAGTTCGGATTATGGCGCTGAATCCTACTGGTGAGTGGTGTATCTCATGAAACCTTATCATCATACCTTCCAAAGCTGAGCAAGCACCAGTTAAGTGCGGCATTCGCGATTTTCCATTAGTTTCAGTGCGAAGAATGCAACAGATGGGCATCGCCGTTCCTGTTCCCATACCAAATGGAGGACATGTGCATCCTGCAGGTGTACCACCCGGGGCTCCTCGGATGATTGCCCAGCGTCGACCCGTTCCCCTACAAAGATACGGTCCCATGCAAGTTGCTTTTCGGCAGTCGCCTGGTAAGTCGTACTGTGTTCCCAGCAATGATTTCTACACTGGTTCTTTCAGCGCATACCCCATCTTCATCCTCCGTCTCGCATAACGAGGTGATTTTTTTTAAATGCAGTTAGCGCTTTCACACACATTTGTTGGGGAGGCAAACCTATTGATCAAAGGGGTGCAGTCTGCGAAACCTTAATTAAATCATGTTTTTTTTGGCTCACGAAGCCTTCGTCCTACTGGAAACGCCAGGTAGATATCCGACCATATGTTAGAGTTGGATGTCTGTGGGTGCTATGAGAAGTGAAGTGCTTAGAACAAGCTTAATTCACACTTATAAATTGCCAATATACCTTTGTTGTTTTTTGAAGAGATATATTCTAAGAATGTGATGTCTGAAACTCATCAACAGCTCCATGGCGGACAAACAGCTTCACCTGGCCCGCAGGACTCCACATCTTCATCCAGGCATGTTGGTCTTTCTGTACATCAAAGCTTTATTTACAGCTTTTTAGTGTTCCGCTGGTATCCACGTTAGAAAGGGATCTTATAGATGCACTTGAGCATGGTCTTCCCTGTAAGTCAATTTTCCTTTGTACATGCTTCATCCTTTCAACATATGTTGTTGTAGCGGCTGAATCAGGCAATCCTTACGAACGTATTATGAGGATCCTCCTGCAAAACGCTAATAATCCCACTTCTGATGTCATCAATGTTTTGCATAACGCTGCGATACAGGATGCTAGTTTTTTTATCTAAAGATTTTTTACTTGCTTGGTGTTACGTTACTTTGAGTGCGGTGTTTGCTCCAGCGCACGTGACACAATGTGGTGATCTTCAGGTCTTCAGTCGTGCGCTGGGAAGTTCTGAAAGCGGAGGTGCACCTTCCACACTTGAACATCCCCAAGAAAATCGTTCCATCCAGCAAGCACAGCTAGTTCCTAGTCTAGGGAACATCGCTAGGGGTGTTATCTCCCAGTCAGGTGCCGAAGTGCCCTTCATGTCGGTATGTTTCTCTCACATTCTTATCACAGTTCTTATCGTTATCTTAGGAGGTTATCTCGAACATTATGAGGAATAATGGTATGACCGGTGGAATACCACCACAAGTTGATGTGTTTGTCGAATACGGGGTAAGGTTCTGTTTTTGTTTCACTCGCTTATTATTGTTGAAACTGAGGAGTTATTGCTGAGAAGCGGCGGTAGTATCAAAGAGTGTTTTGTTGAGGTTCCGGCTGCACACCTGAGAGCTCGCGCTGATACTTTGTGCCCCCCTCCCCTCCCTGCTGTTTTGAAACCACTGTTGAAGGAGGCAGTAGCGGACATCTTTATCTACTAGCATCTTCGCCATTAGTGGTGAAATTCTTGCAAAAAAACGTACTTTGCTATGTTGGTAAAAATAAAGCATGAATGGGATTGAAAAGGCTTGAAAAAAGGTGTCTGCTTATGGTAGGACTCAACCGATTAGCGGTTTAGCAGGATGCCGCGCAACTACTGTCATTTGGTATCACGTTGAAGGGAAATTAGAGCGGCGTCCGGATTTCGCGCCGCAAAATTTCTTTTTAGATACCCTTCTATCATCTTATTCTGCGGAGCCTTTTTTACCATCTCCTCACAACTCTGTTGTTGCACAATGGCAGGTGCCGCTTTGATTTCCCTGTAACGTAACGCCGAATGACATCAGTTCAGTTGCGCCTCGATCCGCGATTATAATTGACTGTGTCTGGCGCCCGCCTACGATTCCATGTGAGAACCGCTTGCTGGGTGTGGAAGGGTTCGGGATTGATAGATTTTGTACAATCTATAAGATAATGGTAGCTATTTTTTCAGCTTCCAGTATCTTGTTGTCTGCCCTTTTGATTAGCCAGAGCTGTTTTCTTTTTGCTAGGTTGCTAAAACACACGTTTTTTCACTATAATCATATCATGTTTTATCCATGCTCTAGGAAGCCCCCCAGAATCCGGGGATGCCTGCAATGCCACCGCAAATGATGAGCATGCCGATGGGTACAGCACATACGGAAGATGGGTATGTCTTCCATTTGGGCCAAAGTATGAATTTTGTTGAATGTGACAACAATGTTGATTTTCATAGCAGACTTCATGTACTAAGCCTATCGTTGCATACATCTTTTGTGAATGGAAAATTGTGTCTGTCTAGACAAATGCTTCAGAAGACAGCCCACTGCCATCGGCTACCACGTAGAAGTGCACCAATTCGATGTTTTCGCTAATCCGCCGGAACAGGAGTCTTCTCAGAATACCACTAGCAATGCTCTACCACCAAGCACTGTCGCACAGTCTGCTTCCTCCAATGGTCCTGTCCCATCAAGCATCGTAAGGCCTTCCGTGCCTAATTCTTTTGGCCATGGTAGGATGCGCCAAGCAGGTGTGGTTCCTAGTCAAATAATGTCAATCCTTCATGATGATTTAGGTTCTTCTGGACATCTTCCTTTCATGATGGGAAATATGAATTTTCCTACTGACTTGCACGTCACTGCACCTCGTCAGGAGGTATGTATATGATCTCACTTATTGGTGTTTGACATGTATTTTGAAGATAGTGAACGTGGACCCATTCTTGTCATGTAATAGCCGCTTCACCGATGTGCAACGTGTTCTACGAAGCAGCAACCCTGGAGCTACTATGCACTTGTCGCCATTTCGGCGTTTCATGCGTGTGAGTTTGGTCTTGTCTAAGGTAGATCGTGTCTAGGTTTATAATTCTAGATTTTAATTAGGGGCATCCATCTTTCTGCGTTTCATCCTTGAGCTTCATTGCCATTTTTTTGCGAGTAGCGAAAGCCTGGTACCGATCTCATGGACGTCATTCGAAAGATTGGGCCAATATATATAGGAATATAGTGCTGCAGCATTTGTGATAATTTCAACAACTATGAATAGATTTTGATTTTGATTCTGGAGGGTTTCTAGTTTGGCAGTCTTTGCCTAGTGGAGAGAATCAATTACGAATTGCCGCATCGATACAGCCATTTTTTTTTGTTTTTCGAATTTCCCTGAACCAGATGACTGCTGCAGTGGAGCCATAGATCCTGGAAGATGCAACTTTGCTTAGAATTTGTAATGTATCTTTGCAGTTTCTTGACATATGGTTATCTCAAGTGTGGGTTTGATTATCTTATTCTTGAGCCTCATTTTACCAAGCAGGCGAGAGTGACCGAGAAGGAATATATGAATGAAATTCGTATTTTCTCTCTCGGAAACGAATGAATTTTCACCTAAAGTTTCTAATTTTTAATGCCAAGATTTCTGTGTATTCATCAAATTCTCTGCGGAACATCGTTCACCAACAACATTGTTGCTGCGTATGGCTTGCTCATCGGATCAATTTACAGAGTGTGGATCTGCCACCGAACAACACGAATCGACGAATTACCCCTATCGATGGCTATGAACGGGTCATGGTATGTTTCCTGCAAATTTGTTAGAAGTTCAGGTCTAACTTCTTCCTTGTAGTTAGAGCTCAACGCATCTGGTGATGTGCTGATGGTCAATGAGAACAATTTTGAAAGTTTTCTTCAGTTGACCATCCGCTCGGCGCTGAGTCAGATGGCTCACGCCGATCAGGACAGGAATTCTCGTATGTTGAAAATGTTTCATTGTTACATATTTCTATGAGCTGGTGATCACTAACACTTCTCTTCAGAAAACGCTCGCGGAATTTCTCCGCATGCGTTTTCCATCGGACAATCAATGCAGGTATCTATTCACACTCATTATTCAAAGAATTGCATCATTGTTTCTCAGCTTCCTGGAGGTGGGGAACTTATTCAAGTTTCTACTCCTCTGCTTGTCCAAGCAGAAATTCAAGAGCACCATCCTGAAGTGCAACAAGAGAACGCTGGGCCCAACGTTACAACCGAAACCAGTATCGAAAATGGTTCCGCAGGTACTTGTTGAATAGCTCTGTCATCCACTTCACACTGAATATCTGAAGTTTCAGATGTCCAGAGGGAGCGCGGGGAGCATCATCACGAATTTACAACCCACGATAGAGATGAAACGAATATCGTGAACGAAGTATGTGTTAATCATTTTTGTCCCTCTAAATGCTAATCATAGCGCGTCTGTGAGCGCATCAGAAGGAAATAGACATACGGATACTAAGCAAGCATCAAAATAAACAGGTCGCAAGTGGAATGACAGCCGGTTTGGAAACAAGGGTATCTACTATTATGGAAGTGTCTCGTGCTCCTGCAGCAATGCTCAGGCCTGGAAATGGTAAGTGCTATAAACGTCTACGTGGGTTTCTCGAGCAACAGCCGCAAATGATGCCCGTAGTTACAATTTTCTGTTGTTATATCGTACATATTTTTAGGCGCAGGACTTCTAGCTCACCTTGAAGCCTTACTTTTGAACTTCGTAACATTGGGGGATCTTGCGGGTATTGTCAATGGACATATGTCTCCTTTGGAACGCCATCGGCCTCATTTTCGAGCACATATCATAGAGAATCAGTTGAATGGGAACTCTATACCCTCAGCCGAAGGTAAAATTTGTGATAGAGGTGGTGTTGACCTCTTTATTTAGTATTTTTTTCCAATCATATCACTTATCTTTACTCTTTCATTTCCAAAAACAAGATTTACAAGAAAAATACGCTCGTGTAAATTACTATCTTTACCCAGATTCTGCGTCAAAACTGACTTTATAGATTTACTTTCCGCGTCGGAGCGCTTGGCCGTTCTCACAGCCTCAGTTTCCTCTATTATATGCGCTGCTGGAGGGATGCTAGAACGTGATTGGAATGGAAGACAGCTGGATATTCCGGAAACCGTACGAAATGTGGAAATTGCCACTATCCAGCTTCTGTTACGGGCCATTTTGGATCGGAACAGTGAGCGAATTTTTGCTTACATTTTTTTCATTTTTTCTATGTATCTAAGTGTTTGTTGAAATTATTGTTCATATAAACAAGGATATATCACCGTTTTTCCAAAATCTCGTCTCATTGCATTGGAGCTGTCATTTCACAGAGAAACAGAGTCGAGCGTGAGTTGTGGTGGGCAAACCTGATGTTGTTGTAAAGCGCAATAGATTTGACGTCATAGAACCCCTTATGTGACGCAGCATATGCACATAGAAAGAAATACAAAGTTCGTCAGATTGTGGCAGTAGAATGGCGAAGCTCTTGTTTAAACATTGGATCTAGCTTTCGAACTTGCAGAAACTATTTCACCCAGCATTTTCAAGATCGCCTGCTCTGTTCGGAAGCTAGCATGTACAGAAAATGTTTGAAAACAAGTAAATCGAGAAAGTTCTTTGGCGTACTGCGTGAACAATTGTTGCAGCCGCTACTACCATCACTTCCGAGATCTACCAAGCCTGCAAATGCGACACCTTACTTGTGACTTACGCGTAAAAACCTTACACGCTGCTATTGTTTGCGTGGAAACGCGTAGCAAATCAAGAACACTAAACATGTTTCCTCCAGATTTTACTTGAGGTCAAAAATATGCCAAAGTTCAATGAATTTGGTAAGTCTTTCCGTAGTAATTTCTTCTACAACTTGTCAACGCTCAGTCGCAAACTTCTATCGCTATATCCTCAAGTTTAACTTTTAAGGTGGAAATTCCTTCTCTGCTCACCATATCAAATCACTACGTATAAAAGCATGAATTCGTGCACTTTCCCTAAACGATAGCAGATGGTAGACGAGGAGAAGCCAGACGAGATGCGAACACGCCCCTTGTGTATTCCAATATATGAGACACATGTTTTCATTTGACCGAACCGTCTCGAATTTTTTTTCGCGCATAGCTGTCGCCTAAGGACAAATTCCAGACTGTAAACAAACCATCACGAGTTGCATTTCAACAGTCTCAAGACGATGTTTTCGCATAAGTCACATGATTACATATGCGATCCTTGAGCAACATCCATAAAATAACGAGGCAAATGTTCCCCCCGGTCGAGGTTCGGTATACTATGTCGCCATTATCATGAAAAGTCGCCTCGTGCAAGGTTGCTGCCGCATCGCCTTACGTAGGTTTTATCTATTAAAATCTTTTGCTTGCAGGTGGTAAAGATTTTCAACATTCAGTTTATGTTTCTGCCTTTGTGCGTTTACGTTTATTTATCGTTTTTTTTGTTTCGTTTTTCTCTGCTTACACGAAACTATGTCGCACAGATTGAGTTGGTCTCAAGGTAGAGCCAAAACCTGATGCTCTTCGGAGCATTTGTAAGAAATACTGCGAATTTGATGGAAATTTTGCTTTTCCAAGCTTTTGAGAAAATCTAACTTTTGTCGTATTCCGAAAAGCGTGAAATTGCGTTCTCTTGTCAGAGGCGACACCTCAGAAGAAAAAGCATTTAGACAAATGTCGGAAATTTTGATCAAAAATGTTATCTGATGGATTTGTAGAAGTGTTAATTTGTGTAATTGGGTGTCGCTGGTGGGAACGAGGTTTTATCTCACACTAATCTTGCTTGCGCTTCCAGAATTGAAAGTGCTCGAGTAATTGGGTATTGCTTGTGGACACGAGTATATATTTGTGAAAATATTCCCTGTTATTCAAAAGGAAAGCGTAAGTAATTGGATTTCGTTGGTGGAGACGAGCGTTTACTTAAAGGCAGCGTCCAGGCTGATCTGGACCTGTGAAAATTTTACATGGAAGGTACTTTCGGGGCACTAACTAAGGCACTGCCCAAGCGACAGCGCAGGTAGATTCTCTAACGATACCCTCCGAAACCGGACCCCGCGATCGTACTCGCATGGATTTATGGCAGTTTCGCGCCAGGTCCACGCTTTGCGCCATGAATACATGTGAAACACGGTCGCGTGGTCCTGTTTCGAGGGGAATATCTCAGCCGTTAGAGCACTACCTGAGCTGCCGGTTCTGCAGTGGCTTAGTTAGGGTTCCAAAATTACTATCCACGTGAGAGCCCCATGTGTCCAGACTTGCCTGGACGCTGCCTTTCAAGAGACGCTTGGTCTGGGTCTCGTTGGTGAAGGTTTTTTTTTTGCTTTGCTTGAAACTCAACGTTTGGGTAACTGGTCTTGCTGATAGAGATAAGCGTTTACTTGAGAAAATCCCGCTTTGGGTATTTTACTGGGTCTGGCTGGTGGAGATGAGCTTCTACTTAGGGAAATCCAACCTTGAATGACTGGGTCTCGTTGGTGGAGGAAAGCGGCGCTTCACTACGTATAAAAGCATGAATTCGTGCACTTTCCCTAAACGATAGCAGATGGTAGACGAGGAGAAGCCAGACGAGATGCGAACACGCCCCTTGTGTATTCCAATATATGAGACACATGTTTTCATTTGACCGAACCGTCTCGAATTTTTTTTCGCGCATAGCTGTCGCCTAAGGACAAATTCCAGACTGTAAACAAACCATCACGAGTTGCATTTCAACAGTCTCAAGACGATGTTTTCGCATAAGTCACATGATTACATATGCGATCCTTGAGCAACATCCATAAAATAACGAGGCAAATGTTCCCCCCGGTCGAGGTTCGGTATACTATGTCGCCATTATCATGAAAAGTCGCCTCGTGCAAGGTTGCTGCCGCATCGCCTTACGGAGGTTTTATCTATTAAAATCTTTTGCTTGCAGGTGGTAAAGATTTTCAACATTCAGTTTATGTTTCTGCCTTTGTGCGTTTACGTTTATTTATCGTTTTTTTTGTTTCGTTTTTCTCTGCTTACACGAAACTATGTCGCACAGATTGAGTTGGTCTCAAGGTAGAGCCAAAACCTGATGCTCTTCGGAGCATTTGTAAGAAATACTGCGAATTTGATGGAAATTTTGCTTTTCCAAGCTTTTGAGAAAATCTAACTTTTGTCGTATTCCGAAAAGCGTGAAATTGCGTTCTCTTGTCAGAGGCGACACCTCAGAAGAAAAAGCATTTAGACAAATGTCGGAAATTTTGATCAAAAATGTTATCTGATGGATTTGTAGAAGTGTTAATTTGTGTAATTGGGTGTCGCTGGTGGGAACGAGGTTTTATCTCACACTAATCTTGCTTGCGCTTCCAGAATTGAAAGTGCTCGAGTAATTGGGTATTGCTTGTGGACACGAGTATATATTTGTGAAAATATTCCCTGTTATTCAAAAGGAAAGCGTAAGTAATTGGATTTCGTTGGTGGAGACGAGCGTTTACTTAAAGGCAGCGTCCAGGCTGATCTGGACCTGTGAAAATTTTACATGGAAGGTACTTTCGGGGCACTAACTAAGGCACTGCCCAAGCGACAGCGCAGGTAGATTCTCTAACGAACCCTCCGAAACCGGACCCCGCGATCGTACTCGCATGGATTTATGGCAGTTTCGCGCCAGGTCCACGCTTTGCGCCATGAATACATGTGAAACACGGTCGCGTGGTCCTGTTTCGAGGGGAATATCTCAGCCGTTAGAGCACTACCTGAGCTGCCGGTTCTGCAGTGGCTTAGTTAGGGTTCCAAAATTACTATCCACGTGAGAGCCCCATGTGTCCAGACTTGCCTGGACGCTGCCTTTCAAGAGACGCTTGGTCTGGGTCTCGTTGGTGAAGGTTTTTTTTTTGCTTTGCTTGAAACTCAACGTTTGGGTAACTGGTCTTGCTGATAGAGATAAGCGTTTACTTGAGAAAATCCCGCTTTGGGTATTTTACTGGGTCTGGCTGGTGGAGATGAGCTTCTACTTAGGGAAATCCAACCTTGAATGACTGGGTCTCGTTGGTGGAGGAAAGCGGCGCTTCGGGTAACGATCCAAGGCCTCAGTAAGTGCTCTCGATGGTGGAGGAAAGCGTTTACTCGGCGATTCAATGCTTTAGGTGACTGGGTCTCGCTGGTGGAGATGAGCTTTCATCTGGGAAAATCCAACGCTTAAATAACTGGGTCTCGCTGGTGGAGGAAGCGGCGCTTCGGATAACGATCTCACTCGTGGAGATGAGCTTCCACTTGGGAAAATCCAACGCTTCAGTAAGTGCTCTCGATGGTGTAGGAGAGCGTTTGCTTGGGGATTCAACGCTTCGGGTAATTGGGTCTCGCTGGTGGCGATGAGCTTCCACTTGGGGAAATCCAACGCTTCAGTAAGTGCTCTCGATGGTGGAGGAAAGCGTTTACTCGGCGAAATTCTATGCTTTGGGTGACTGGGTCTCGCTGGTGGCGATGAGCTTTCACTTGGGGATAACGCTTCGGGTAATTGGGTCTCGCTGGTGGTAGAAAGCGTTTACTAGGCGGAATTCTATGCTTTGGGTGACTGGGTCTCGCTGGTGGATAAGAGCTTCCATCTGGGAAACAACGCTTTGGGTGACTGGGTCTCGCTGATAGCGATGAGCTTTCACTTGGGGATAACGCTTCGGGTAATTGGGTCTCGCTGGTGGTGGAAAGCGTTTACTCGGCGATTCAATGCTTTGGGTGATTGGGTCTCGCTGGTGGATAAGAGCTTCCATCTGGGAAAATCCAACGCTGAATGACTGGGTCTCGTTGGTGGAGGAAAGCGGCGCTTCAGGTCACGATCTCACTCGTGGAGATGAGCTTTTACTTGGGGAAATCCAACGCTTCAGTAAGTGCTCTCGATGGTGGAGGAAAGCGTTTACTTGGATATTCAACGCTTCGGGTATTTAGGTCTCGCTGGTGGAGGAAAGCGTTTAACTCGGCGATTCAATGCTTTCGGTGATTGGGTCTCGCTGGTGGATAAGAGCTTCCATCTGGGAACCAACGCTGAATGACTGGGTCTCGATGGTGGAGGAAAGCGGCGCTTCGGGTAACGATCTCACTCGTGGAGATGAGCTTTTACTTGGGGAAATCCAACGCTTCAGTAAGTGCTCTCGATGGTGGAGGAAAGCGTTTAACTCGGCGATTCAATGCTTTGGGTGACTAGGTCTCGCTGATGGAGATGAGCTTCCACATGGAAAAATCCAACGCTTGAATGACTGGGTCTCGCTGGTGGAGGAAAGGGTTCACTTGTGGAAATTCAACGTTTTGGGTAACTGGGTGTCGCTGGTGGAGATAGGTTTCCACATAAGAAAATTCCAGCGCTTGAACTACTAGGTCTCGTTGTGGAGGAAAGCTTTTACTCAGGTTATGGTTTTCCGCATGAAAGAGAAAGCTTTTAGATAACGTTCCGCCTGTGAAGATGTGTTTCTATTTGAGGAAATCCCACCAGCGGTAACTTGTCTCCTTTTGAAAATGCTTTTACTTGGGGTTATACGCTGGAGTAGTGGGTCTGGCTGGCGAGCTGGTGAAAATGAGCTTCTGCTAGGTAAAGCATCTATTATCCTGTACGAAAGGCGGTTGGAAACGAGCGCCTATTTAGAAAAATCTGCTTTTCTTTGAAGAGAGTACCTTCATTCGAAAGATCTTCTTATTTTGCATGAAGGAGAGCTTGATGATTGGGACTGGCTGGTGGAGCCAACGCTTACCATAAAGGATTATAGCGGGTAACTTTTTCGTACACAAATGGCAAAATTTGATCGATGATTGAAGGGCAGGGCATTTATCCAAAAAAAATTGTATAAGGAGAACATAAAGAGTAACAGGGTATCGTTGTTCGATGGCGGCTGACTTTTCGGAGAGGTCACTACCGGGGGTGACTTGGTGTCGCCGTATTGCAAAATCCGTAGAAGAAAGTTGTTCTGAGAGCGTGTGTTGAGGAAATTCTGTTCTTTCTTGTTGAAAACGAAGCGTGTGATTGAAGATCTCATTGATGGAGGCCATGCTTTCAAGCGAAAGGAACCTTTTCGGGAAGTGCGTTTATTCCACAGATTTTCCAATATCTCATCAAAAATCTGCTTTGTAGACGTTTTCATGGGGAAACCTCACCTATATTTGTAGAAAAGTGAGTTATTGACGAGTCCCGCAAAATAAAAAGGCTCAAAGTTCAGGGTAGAGTATCAGTCCAGGAAACTTTTTCAGATGCTTTCACCCGATAAGGAATCTACCTTGGAGCAAATTTTTTTCAAGTAAAATAAAATGCAGGAAGATGTCATTGAGATGCACGGACTTTCTGAACATGTGCTTCGATCCACTTGTAGCGACCCGCAGGGTCGCTAGTGCTATAATAGCTTAAGAGCTTGTATTCCTCTAATAACTTCATTACGCATTCATCTCCCTTTTAGGAGTTTTTATGGAAGATGATCGCATTGAAAAGGTTTTGAAAAAGTCTGCTTTTTTCCTCATAGAAAACTAGGCAAGGTAGGCCTCTATAGAAATACCGATGGCATCTGGCACAGTCTTCTATCCGCTCTGTGTGGTCGCTAATTACAGGGTGTCCCAAAAGTCTTTAAGCCAGTATTTCCTCAGCTGCAATTCTACGAAGCAACACTGTCACATGAAATTTAGCAGGAATCTTGTGAGGGATCTACAAAATAACAGAGTACACTCAGTTTTTAAAAAACCCTTATTTGGCCTTCACACCAGCCTTCACATTCTTGCGGAACGCATGCATCGTGGCAGACAGATAGTTGACGTCAAGAATGTCTCACACCTTCTGAAGCAAGCGTTTCAGACTGCAAAAAATTTAGAGTGGGACAGAGCAAGCCTTGCTTTCTATGACTGATCACAAAGAGAAGTCAGAGGCTCTTGAGCTGGCGATTAAAAGCACCTTGATCCGAGAAGCAGGTCTGCGAGATTCAACAAAAGTGTTGAAATGTAGCAATCGAGTTCTTGAGAACATCAAGAAAACAGCAATTTTGGTGTGCATAGAATGACTTTAGAATGATGATTTAGTAAAGAATGCAGAGCTCACAGCTAGGATTAGTGACTCAAACTGAATTGGTGTTGGAATTTTCAGCTTTCTCGGATTTTTGTTTCCAAAAACTTTTTCTTCTTATTGACATGGCACTACTGTGAGTGTTTGTATCTTAATCCTGCATCAATGAATAGAGACTACTGATTAATTTTGCAGTGTAGACGTAGAGTGGAGCTAGCTCTACAATACGAAATTCAAGACTCCGCAAGAGCTTCAAAGGCAAAAGAGCTATAGATGTTTGAGTAAAAGTTACGTTTACACTGGATCTTCTTCAAAATCGTAGTACTGTTTTCTCCAAAAACAATATCTTGAGAATGTACAGCGCAAATAGTAAGATTTTCTTGAGGAATATTAAAAACTAGACGAAGTACTCATAAGCAGAATTTGACTGAAAAGCGAGGAATACTAACAAAGTTACTACGTTGAGAAGTTAGGCTCAAAGACTTTTGGGACACCCTGTACATTGCCTGTGAGGAACAACTTAGGCGGTCTTGGTGTGCTGTGGGTCCAATGAGATTCATGTATTCAAGATACTGACAAGTGCTGTGCACAAAGCTACTGAAGGCTGTGGCACTGAACACTTTTTGAACACTTTCCTTGTACGCGCACGTGCGATTTCTCTATTGCGCTAAATTCGCACGCTGCAAATTTATGATCAAAAGAGTCCGACAGTGACCCTGCGTCTATACCCTTAGAGCACCGCACCCGTCCACTCGTCCATGTTCAGGTGAAAGTCTCGGAGAATTCCTGTTTCCTCCATTTACACGCTCTCTAGTTTCCGGAATCAGCACACAAATGCGCCTAGGAAACGAACATGGGTTGAGGACACTGCCTATAAAAGGATTTAAAAAGAGATGGCTATTTCGTGAAAGCGTTGAAGGGAAGTGAGATACCTACGTTCGTGTGCCACACCTCACGCTTGAACCTGATAGAATTAACGAGAGGGTTTCACGCACAGGTTTTGCAGAAGTGCTCACTCTTATGCACAAAACTTGTTTTCATGTAACTGTGCATTGCAGTGTTTGGTATTTCTTGATACATCTATTCCAGTTTCCGATACTGTGTTCGTTCATCGAATACAGAACTGCTTGAGAGACTATATACGATATATGGTTGCATTGGGCAATTATTCATTTGAGCAAGCAGATGAATCAGCTTACGTTCGATTGTTGTATGAGTTGTTGGTGGGTTATAAGCTTTAATGTACATCGCACAAATGCAAGGTCTTCTACAGATGAGAGGTGACAGAAATGCGGGTAATCCGGATGCTAATCTTTCACGGCTTTTGCGTCTTAGAAGCTGCGTACTTCCACGTATTGCTGCTTTTTTAAGAGATCAAGGTACTATTCAATGAATTGGTTGATGCAGATGATTTGATCAAAGGAAACAATAACATATTCAGGACGATTTCCAAATCTCGACGAGCTTCCCTCTCGTCTCCTGGCTTGGTCAAATCATGGTGACCATGTGATGCCCGTTGATGCGAGCAGCGGCGAACATCTGTCTCGAGATGATGATGTTGATGAGGTATGTCTTTGAAAAGTTACCCTTCTACCCTGGTTTCTCTATTGTGCTTACTCATTTGGCTTGTAGTGTATTCATATGTCTAGTCAGAGTTCATTATACAATTCATCTTGTCTATGACCCAATATAGTTTTTCATATCCATATCGCTTTTTTTTGGTTATTTCATATGCTACCATTAAAAGACATACTATCGATGGCGGTATCTATAAACGATCTTTTTGCAGTGCTGTTGTTCTTTCACATTGTAACCAAATTCATGGGTAGTATCATAGTATTTGTTCATAAAATTTTTTTGTAATCATATCGATTACCCTAATTTCGGGGGTATAAGGCGCACCCGCCGCAGCGAACGATGGCGCGAAAACGCTTTCTAAATGATTGCTCTCTAAATCTAAAAAGCGTAAACTCAGTGTTCTGTGGTTATTCTTCATTGCCCATAAATCATGCCTCCAGGTATTTTTCCTTTTCTCAGAATGTACACTTTGATATATCGTTTCTACAGGCGGGAGGAAGGTGCTCTCAATGGTATTTATGGTGTTTAGATGATTCTTTCTTTTGTTTGCAATGATGTTACCGGTGCTACATTTGTGCTTACCTTCGTTTCCAATAATGCTACTGGTACTGAAACTGTGCTATTCTTTACAATGATACTACTGATATTTTGAAGGTTTTTGTTCTATTCTTATCATTCTTGAAGAATCAAAAAGAAGTTAGAGATTTGTTCTGAAACAAATCACTGTGAAGAGGAAAACAGCAAGAACGGGAGCAAAAAGCTACTGCTGGATGAAAGAGGTTGCTGTTGGCTGCTTGTGCGGTGCCGCGCATCGCGAACGTCAACATACAACAGTCCGCGCGCGGTGACAGCTACTGCGTCTTATACTCAGACATTTTTTGCGGCCACCCCGCGCTCATGGCAGGCTGGGCGAAAACCCGTTCCGGGCCTTGCCCTGCCATGCTAGCGCGGGCCAGCGACGGTTCCAGCGTGTGCAGCGACCCTGTCACCCGGACGAGCGGGCCAGCCTGTATTTCAATGTCTGCTTTGTCTTATTGGCCCGCGCTAGCATAGCAGAGCCACCCTAGGGTTGGGTTTCGGCTCGGCTGCACCTGCATGCACAAGTCACCTCAAATGTGGATACAACCCATGTGAAATCAAAAATAGTGGAGATCGTTCCTGCTTCACACTACTGATCGAACTACACGAGAGTATTTGGAACTCTATCAACGGTCAACTCATAGGGAAACCTGTTATCAGCCTACATGCAAGTGTTACACCTTCTGCAAGCACCGATGGCATCCCTTTTACTGCGTCGTATGTCACGCGAGTAACCCTTGTGCTTACAACATGCGTTAATTCATATGGATGAGCGGGTCGCTGTTAATTCCGGCATGCGTGTGATGGGTGCGCGGGCCGCCAGTGAAATTATGAGCCTAGACAGGCGCGCGGGCCACCGTCAGCATGGCATCACTATGTGCGCGGGTCGCCAGCTCGCACCTTTGGGCCGCTGCTGGGCCTGATGCATGTAAAGCTGATATTTAGGTGCCGCGGCTCAAAAGCGAAGCCCAGTTGGGCGACCGGGCCACTGCAACAATTGTCTGAGTACCCCGGAAATTAGGGTATATCTTCTCTAAGCGAAGAAATGCTCTGAATACCTCATACGTTAATCGTCATAACTTCATGGTGCTTACTTCGCATTTGATATGCTGTAAATCATCTTGTAGCTCTGCAACTTATAAAGCTGTCTTTTCTATCTTCGCAAAAAGCTACGTAATATCTCGTTTTTTCAAGTAGCCTTTTTCTTGTGGTCTCAAAAATAACAAAGAAAATCGAGATACCGTCATTGAGATCGAACATCCTGCAACTCAGAGTATATGTGTATTCTCCTTGGAGGTCCTGCTGAATTTTATTCTCTCCTTTTCGATTATCTTTTGACATAAATATTCTTGCTTTATGAAGAGCTTTTTGCCTTGTTAAATGGCTTTGATTTCACTCACCATTGCTTTCCCTAAATAGACTCGAAGTGGCGCGTCTTCGAATGGTCCAACACCAGCCAAAAAGCGAAAAGTGAGGGACGACGAAGAGGTACATTCTGATCATATGGATGTATAGAACAGTTTCGGCACCGTATCGTCAATGTCTGCACTGCTTTGGAATCTTCTCATTAATCATCAATCTAATGCTTTTCTATGCTAGTTTCTCATTTCAGTTCAGGTGCGTAACAGAGCAGGTAGTTAATTGATCTGGATAATTGATATGCAGTTTTTGTTCGAGCTTCTATAGACGTTACCGGTTTGCATATTAAACCAAAGATCTGCGATCTATTCTGACTAGTTCCTTATGCGGGTAATGCATGTCTAAAGCTCGTCGACACGTGTCACCTATGTTGGTCGTAGTTTTGCGTGCTACGAGTTAGCCAATCTCATACACAGTTTCTACGTTGCTGGTTTTTTCTATCTAATCCAACAGCACACCCACCTCATTTTGTTACCTCAATCGGTTCGTTCGGATTTTGCTCATATATGATTTGAATGGTAATTCGTAAAGTGGTTCTCTTCTACGCTTTGAATTATTTGTTGGAATAAATAGATTTATACAATAATATAATATATCTTATTCATCATCGCTAAGCGCGATTGGCATTTTGAGGCAGTATCTGTGCCTTTCGTTACGAACTCACACTCGAGCTTTCAGCCGATAGCGTCAACTTCTCGTGGTTTCTCCCAGATGTCCACTAATGCGCAACTTCCTTCTTCAGGAAGAGATCCATTGAGTGGCACCCGACTTCAAGATTACGATGGAAACTGGAGACGATCTTTTCCTGTAAAACTTCATGTCCATAGAGAAATATGTCTGAGATTTTTTGTTTTAGGAATGGCTGGAGTTGATAGAAAGAGATGGTCTTTCTGCTCAAATCAGTCCACGGCAACGAAGGAGCCGCAGCGATTTGTATCAGTCAATGCTTCCACAGAACATGAGAAGGGTACGCTAATCCTTTGACATAATTATTGTCTTGAGAACCAAACTAATTACTCGTTTTTAAAATGACCCAGACAATATTAATTTAGCAAGTTGTACCCGATAATTACTCGGAAGAGGATGTTCTTTTATCAGTTCTACACGAATCACTTAGCAATGCTTTCCGAGGAAGTACACCGGTAAGCTTTTTTCCTCGAGAATACTAGAGTTATCTATCTTGGAAGTGGTTGTTGACTAACCTCTCGTTTGACCAGCTAGCTTTGTAGCTTACCCGTAGGCTAGATGAATTTAGCATGTAGTCGCTGTTCATCCGACTCGCGAAAGGTCTTTCTGATTAGCATTTACGAGCTTTGCCTTTTAGCATGATTTTCAGCCTGTCTCAGAGGATCATACCAATTCTCCAGCAGTTCTGGGAGCAGTGAATGATTTGCTTACTGGTGCAATACGACGTCGTCTTCAAAATGACCCAGACTACGACCCAGCCAGACACCCAGAAATTGCTCGAGAGTTCGGAAGAGAACCATAAGCCATAACCCTGGTGATAGAATCCATGCTCACTGTAATGTGATCGTTCACTTGGCTTCGAAATTTTTCGTTGTGCTTTATTAAAATTCCTGTATTTCTCTAATTAGTTGCTATTCGTCGTTGCCTTTTTCCAGGGTGATATGTAATGTTTTATTGGGCTCTACGTGTACAAATGTGCACTTGGCGGCTGCTTTTCTGAGCGATAGATCTTTGACGACCATAGAATGCTCATGTGATTCTATTACTAGTTGTTCAGCGAGTGATTTATTGCACGTTTTCATGTTTCGGTAACCAAAGATAATCTTACAGCCTTTGGTATTTGTTATATTGCCCCGTCTCTTAAAAAATTGTAAAAATACAAATGCTTTATTCGCCGTGTGCTTGTGTTTCAGTGTTAATGAGCACAATGTTATCAAGATGTTACCTTAGCTAATTGCCCAAAATTGCTGCTAGAAGTAATTATCCAAAATGCTTTCGAAGGAACTTGAAGAGATCCAGGGATTCAAGACATGTTTTAGTAGGGAAATGGTGATTTGTTCCTTACTTTGGCAGATACGTCTCTCCAGAGTAATCAGGAAAAGGAGGTGCTTTGAAACTTGTTGCCAGTTGTAGGAAAAAAGTTTTTGTGGTTTCTGAGCGTAGGGAGGGCGTAGGGCGTAGGGCCCGCTGCTGAAGAATCGACTATTGGCTACACAAGAATGATGTTGTGTTATCCTGATACACTTCATGATCTTGAGCTTCCTCAAAATGATATAAGGTAGTTTTCTCCAGAGAATTTTCTTTAGGGACTGCATTATCCACCTTGGTGACTACTGCCAAACATACTATACCCTTTGATTCAGCCGGATTGGTGGGTGGAAGGCGACTGCTCGCACTTGCTATCATTCTGCGTTCGAAGGTGGACGTTCGCGTGCGAGCTATCCGCGAAAAAAGGGGGGAGGGGTGGAGCCTATTGGCGACATTACCGTCCTTCAACCGAGGACTTGCGTCGAAAGTCGTCCCAGGCTGTTAGACACCGCTCTTATACCGTTTGTTCCCCAGCAAGGTTCCCATAGGTAACATTTGATTCAACTGGCTTGGCATTCGGGAAGGCGGGGCTTCGTGACCTAATTAAGGCTAGGTAATGATCAGAGAGCACTCGCGCGAGAGAGACGCAGGTGCGTCGCGGGAGCGAGCAGCCTCAATTAAGCCACAAAGCCCCGCCCTGATAATGCCAAGACAGTTGAATCAAAGGTTACCACGTCATCTCGCTGCCTTTCGCACTTTTGAGCGTGTTAACCTCGGGCATTTCCGTTGAAATCTCAGAAGAAACGTGAGGCTGCATTTGATACCTCGACTCCGCAAGGAAGCGCCAGAATGAGGAAGGCTGTGGCTAATCGTTTAGAAGGTCAGTATGCGGGGGAGGTCCGCGTCACACATGAATAGTCATTTTCTTGGTAGTGTTTTTGAGGGTTGTCGAGTCGACGACTGCAGGGACTGGCCTACATTGCGGAGCACGCGCCGCGCTTCCAAACGCTTGTACCACTGCAAATCAATATTGTATATCGTCCCCTCCACAGATCGTGCTACCCTTGGTCTGCGTTTCAGACCTGCCACGTGTGGCTAACATGTTGGCAACGTGGCAACAACATGTTTGCAACATGCCCCAACATGTTGGCAGAAAATTTTGGCCACGCCAACATGTTGCTGCATGTTGCCAACGTGTTGCTGCCAACGTTGCCAATGTTGGTCATACGTGGCACGTCCGCGACGCCACAAGGGTAGCACGATCTGTGTAGCGGACGATAACTTGTGTTCTCGTGACATTTCAGCAGCGCTCCGCATGTTCCGCAATCGACCAGTCCGTGCGGTCAACGACTACGATTCACCGCCGTGTGGCATGAGGAGTGCTGGTACCTTGGGAAGAACTCGATACACAGATCATAGGCGCACGTCATACTTGATCATAAACCATTATATGTCGGAGGGGGACGGTGGCACTAGCTACCGTACCCCCGGCGCGCGCAGGACCAACCAAGGTTAGAATGAGCTTGGCATGAAGCCAATCGCATGCCGCGAAAGCTATTTTTTGCTCCTTGTGGATTTTTTGATTCTTGTGGATGATTCTTCGCGTAGAGTGTGTCGCATAGTGTCATATCCTGTTTTTTCCCTGTACTGTTTTTCTCTTCAGGGCTCTTTTTGAACGTTCCGCCTAGCAGGGACGTGCCGTTTTTGGGTCGCTCGGCTGCCACAAGGCTGGCTCGATTACGCAGTATCATGGAAATCTCGCCTGGGATCGCTTCTTACCATTGTCGACATGTTAAATTCAACAGGTAATCTTTTTTTTCTTTCTTGCGAAAGTTTTTTGTTTCCTTATGTGAACTTTTCGGATATTTCACTGATTTGAACGACTGAAAGACCATCAGGAAGCACCAACGATAACACTAGACGAGGCAGTCGAAATTGAGAGCGACGATTCAGTGTAAATTATTGAAGACGAGGATTTGGAAGTTTTTGAACTGACATCCCATCAGGAGCTGAATGTGTGCGGAGATGTGACAGAGCAAACGCGAGAAGATCTTGAGAAGGTGTTTGAAGGCGAGAAGGCGATATGCTCTTCAAAATGCGCAACCGCTTCCAGCATCGCGCCAGAGAACTTGTATACCATACACTTTCGCATGCGCAGGCTACATTCGATAATATAGAGGACCCGGAAGTTGGTAACGAATAACTTCCGGGATATCGAGCTTCTACAGATGAAACTACAAAAAATTGCAGAGCCTCGAGCAACAACCCTTAGAAGGAGACGGGGGATCGGCACACAATACAGTAAGCTTCTGCAAATCGATACATTATCAAGTGAATGAACGACGAAGAGACTTTGCATCAGGCAATATGTCATCACATAACAAGTATCTCAAGGATAGCTGACCTCTGTTTAGTGAATTGATTTTCGCTTTCTTTGTGTTTTGAAATGTTTTGTTTTTTTGTAAGTAAATGTTATCAAACCAGAAATTTAGTTTTGAGCGCTTGAGTTTCATAGTCTACGTGTGATAAGGTTACTCCGAATGTGTTGAGCTTGTTTTTGAACTCAATAAATTGTTGCACATAAACTATGATTAAGCCACAACTTCTCTGATCATTCCAAAGAAAGGTGCCAGCTCACTCCCCATGAAATGCACTGCAAAAGGCATATATCGCTCTCGTAAAGATGGTCGGAAATTGGTCGGAAATTTCCAAATGGGAGGGTCTCCCAAGTTGTTACTAATGGAAAGGGCTTTCCTAATCACGGCAATTCCAACCCAGTATTTTGCTGTATCAATTGAGCAGTATTCTGCTAGAGGGAAAGAGATGGGAACAGGTGAAAGACAGATCGTACTTTCCAGATTATATTGAGGCATTTACTAACTCTAACAAAAGTCATCCAAAATTTACCACAATCGAAGCGAAACCCATTATACCACTTCACAACAACAAAGCGTCCAGATTTTCACATTAAACAACTCATGAATCGAATGAAGCACTCGTTTTCTAAGATTGCAATCAATCGAGTAGACCAGGTAATATACAGAAAGAATATACATTTGTACACAACAAATTCTCACTGATGCCGCCTGTAGAAAATCTCTGCCAGAGCCGCTGAAATGACACAGATCACGCAGATGGTAAAAAAAACTCAATTAAAACCAAGAAATGAACTTACCGAATCTCTCACGATACTTTCTTGCCCCTATAACTTCCCGGTGCTTTTTCGCTTCGGGATTCCATCAGCTCTGCCTCTGTTTTGCGGCAAAAGCACCTTCTCAGAATCTTCTCGCGTTTGCTCTGTCACATCTCCGCACACATTCAGCTCCTGATGGGATGTCAGTTCAAAAACTTCCAAATCCTCGTCTTCAATAGTTTACACTGAATCCTCGCTCTCAATTTCGACTGGATCCTCGTCTAGTGTTATCGTTGGTGCTTTTTGATGGTCTTTCAGTCGTTCAAATCACTGAAATATCCTAAAAGTTCACATAAGGAAACAAAAAACTTTCGCAAGAAAGAAAAAAAAAGATTACCTGTTGAATTTAACATGTCGACAATGGTAAGAAGCGATCCCAGGCGTGATTTCCATGATACTGCGTAATCGAGCCAGCCTTGTGACAGCCGAGCGACCCAAAAACGGCACGTCCCTGCTAGGCGGAACGTTCAAAAAGAGCCCTGAAGAGAAAAACAGTACAGGGAAAAAACAGGATATGACACTATGCGACACACTCTACGCGAAGAATCATCCACAAGAATCAAAAAATCCACAAAGAGCAAAAAATAGCTTTCGCGGCATGCGATTGGCTTCATGCCAAGCTCATTCTAACCTTGGTTGGTTACTTGATCCACTTGGTCCGCTCGATCCACTTTTTGCTTCGCTGTTGGTCAAATCAGTGTGACCAATTGTGATGGATGAAGTGGATCAGGTGGAGCAAGAGCACATCCGCGTCGCTATCGGTCAGTCCACCTTTTTGAGCAACAGCGAAGTGGATCAAGCGGACCATTATTCCGCGTGCTATTAGTGTAGGAGGAGCGCGTATCCCCACGAAGCCAAATAATTGGATCCAGGAAGGTGGAGAGAATGGGACAACTCTCTTACGTGGTGATGAAACTCACAAAAGAGCTTACAAGGAAAGGTTCCAAGTCAGCTCGGCCAAACCTGATAGGCATACAGTCGGTTCCATCCCGGATTAGGCGAGACATTCTACGTGGAGCAGCGCATGCGCATCGCTGGAGGCTTCGCGAGCGCACAGCGCTGGCAAGCAAAGACTAAGGAGATTGAAGAGACGTAGACATGGGTTCTCAGCACGATAGGATATACTGTAGCTGCGAAACGGGGCGCTGTGGCGAGGCGGACTCCCGTCAATCCAATTTCCGCCTAAAGCGGGTCGAAACTTACTGTATGTCTGTGAAGTGCTTTGAACGCTGATTCCAAATCTGTCGTTTCTAGCTGCGGAGCGGCTCTGTAGAGGGAATTATGAGGGTGTTTTCCTCTGAGGTGAAGTTCCCTTCATCATGTCAACCCTTGTAGAAGCATTAAAGGCACCGTCCACCCAAAGTAGGAGTTCACGAGATTCGATGGCATACTAATGTGCCCCCACACTGGGCCAACCCCTAAGTAGAGCCGCAAAAGATTCCTTCCGAAGCGAGAAATCCGCTCCGGAAGGAACGTAATCCGGAGCTGGTCACTCCGCCCACCTGGTCACTCCGCCCATTTTGCAGGGGCGGGCTGCGGCGCTGATACAGGGTGTCCCAAAAAAATGTGAACACTGTTTGATTGTTAATAACTCCCTTGCTTTCATGTCTTTCGCCGAGCTTGAGTGACCATTCTATAGAGCGAGGTTCAACTTAGATTTACAGCATGGATTGAATTACCGATCCCTTTTCGTTACTGTAGGATTACGGTAGAAATTTCGACAAGGACTTTGGGCCATTGGAGGCCATATTCTGCTTCGGAACAAAACCAAACAAGCCAAAAACTTCTATACTATGGTTATGGAGGACGCTGATTTCGAATATGAAATTCCCACTTTACTGTGATGCTTCTTTCCAATGTTATCCTAGGTAAACCGTTAATAACTGAATTTCCAGCATCTGTCAGAAATGTGACTACACCGTCAAAAAAGCTAAAAACACTCTAAAAAGTTGTCTAATGGAATCAGCGTGCACGAAAACCCTAGTACACGATTTTTCAGATTTTTTGAAAAAAACTTTTGTCAAATGGCCTATTTCACGATAGATCCACATGCTAGAAGTTCATACCATAATCCTACAGTAACGAACAGCGATCGGTGATTCTCCATACTACAAATCTAAGTTGAACCTCTCTCCACACAATGATGCCTCAAGCTCGGCGAAAGACGTGAAATCAACGGAGTTATTAACGATCAAACAGTGTTCACATTTTTTGGGACGCCCTGTATACGCTGGCGTATAACGCGCCGCAGTCCTGCGACTTGCATCGCGCCGTTCTCCAAAACCGGTTTTTTTTGGTGATTTCGCGGATTCTCGACTACATATTCGGAATTAGGACCTTCAGAGGGCCTGGAAGCGACAAAAGCATAAAAGTCAAGAATTTGGGTGGACGGTGCCTTTAAATGGTGGTGCCGGCAAAGTGGTAAGACAACTGGTTGGTGGGCAGGAGGTCAGCGGTTCGAGTACAGTCGCCCGCAGCCCTTTTGCATTCTTGCAAAAGTTATACTCAAGCTTGTTGATGATTTTGAGCATTCGTACCTTGAACTTATTGTTTGTTAGGTGCTGTTCAAAGTAGAAGACGAAAAATCACACTGTCACATGGTCTTCCGTTATTGTTCAGGTGATTTCGGCACAGACGAATGGACTTAATACATTCCTATATTCACTATAAACATATATGGAGCGTTCGTGGAAATCAAATGTGATGTCTGTGATCAACATATCATATAAATCCGCATAGATTAACTTTGTGCAAGTTCCATGACATCAAAATTTTGAGGCCGCATACTGAAATAGTGCCCATTTATCTTTGGTGAAAACTTTACTTGAACAGTAACGAATTATGCGCTAGTCTAGTTTTCCGAGCTTCTAATTGTAGAAAGTATCTTAACTTTCAGGCTAGATGCTCATAATCCTTTTACAAGCTCGAATTCATCCTGCAGATAATGCAAAGGAGTTGCCCGCTACAAGATTCAAACCGATGACTGTATGCTTATCAGTCAAGTTCACCGCATATGCCATCTTGTACTCTATATTGCTCTAGACAAAGGCTGATTTGTTGAACGGCATCCCGGACAGACACACCTTCAAAGCTCCCTCCACAGAACCGTTCTGCAGCTCAGCGTTTCAAGCGCTTTACGGTGATATATGCCTCATCCGGATTGGCCGAACTGACTTGGTAACCTTTCCTTGTGTTCTCACTTATACTCATTTACACCTTTTTTATGCGATTTCGGGCCGTATTCTTCGCTGAGGATCTTACATATGTCTGTTTTTCAGGGTTTTGCAAATGCATGAATCGGGTCGACGGGCCTCTGAGATTTTAGCTAATGCTAGAAGAAACGCTCGGAAACAGGTACCTATCTTTTGCACACCTTTGCTTGGTCCTGAGAGCCAGAACTTCTCTTCCCGGAGGCAGTCTTGATTTGACTGGTGAAGGGAATCGTTACTTGGTTCCTTTGGAAATGGGCGTTTTACTTGAAAGCGTACAGGACTTATCAACTGCAGTGTCAGGTGCACCAGCATCTCCACCCCTACGCGGAATCCTGCACCTCTTTCGCGAACATGCTCTCTGGCCACTTTCTCACCGCGAGCATGGGAAAGGCGGGGCTTCAGTCGATTGGATGTGATTGAAGAGCATGTTGCGGAAGAAGTGGAGTCCCGTGCGGGAGTGGAGATGCTGGTGCACCCGAAACTCCAACTAATAAGTCCTGTGTGTACACTCGCGAAACTGGCAGAGGCGAGCTGTCCATGGCTTGCCACGGATATCATTAGCTTAATACCTACCTTCAAAAGTGGCGCAAAATAATGGAGCTGCTGTGTCTATCGAATCACACAATAGCAACGTCCACTGCGGCTGGATTGCTGCAGAACGATGACTTGACTGACTTCTGCATTAAGAGCAAGAGGAGACATAGGGTCTTCCAGTGGTCTATGGCATGTATTGTAACGCTGTTTTGTGGCTACGTGATTCGGGAATAGACCGACTCTCAATGAAAGGCCCACTTCTTTTAAGACAACTCTATTGCGAAACAGCGATAACATCATTGATTAGCATTTGAAGCACTCAAAAACATTGCGTCGTACTTCACGCGGGTACCGCTCGTGCTTACAGCGCGTGAGAATGCGGAAGACATCATGGCACGCCGCTCACTGATAAGTTGCGCGCCGCTCGAGTCTCAACTAGGGCGCGCCGCCACACTACAGCGCTGTAATGGTGCGCGCGCTGCCGCACCGAGTGTCTGAGTTGTAGTGGTGGAAGCGCTTGGCCGTGCTGCAGTGCTCCGCAATCTACGGCAGTTAATGTGACCATCAGTCAGTGTGACGGTATCTCAAATTGCGTCTCAAATGGGTAGAGAACTATATGCTGCCAGGTGCTACACAGCGCATCTCTTTTACATGCAAACGGTGCGTAAACAGTTGTTGTAGGTCCTCACACCTCTGTCGGCGACATGCAGTCCTTTATCCTTTTCAACACCAAATACAAAATGATGCTGATGGTTTTTACACATATTCTTTATTTCCAAAAACACTCATTTCGAACCATGCAACCAATCAACTTGTTACTTTGGCGTTGCAAAATACACTGTGTCTGAAAAGTCAGAAATTGGATCAATGGCTTTGTAGGAATGCGTGAATGGCAATATTTCCCTCAACCCCAGCAAAGACATTCCTTAGCAGGGTAGACAATGGGCGAGCTGGTTAAGAACGAGGCTCGTGGGCGAACTCGCGAACCGCCTCGTTCTGAATCAGCCTCGCTCAGTCAGGTAGAAACCAGGCGAGCTGGTGAAGAATAAGGCTCGTAGGCGAACTCGCGAACCGCCTCGTTCTGGATCAGCTCACTCAGCCTCTACTTGATGACAGAATGAAGTTAAACACTTACTTCGGAAGCAAGTACAGAAAATTTGTTTCAGGACGATTTTAGCCGTGGTGGCTTTCACTTTACGGCTATATGGGACCATATACTGGAGTCTCAATGCGCCCACGCTAATTTAACTGCCAATGGCGACAGCGATTGCTCAGTGGGTTTTCTTTATGGTGCTGTATAGATTTCTACCCCCAGAAATATAGAAAATACGACTAACAAGGAAACGATACTTGGTGTCCATGGCCTTTTGAGATGAAATGTATACCATCACATTCGTCTTGGGACGCTGATTCCGAATCTGACTTCCGTTTCTGCTAATCGTTTCTCTAGAAGAAGTTATGAAGGATTTTTGCGTCAGTGGTCGCCTAAAAGAAATACGGTTGCGATGCCTAACTTTCAAAAGAAGCTTGATTGAGGCAATGCAAAACTTAAAAACACAAAAGGACTCGAGACTAAACCTGCATTAACTTGCGAGGCTATCGCACTAGCCACTACACCACATCTCAGTGGCGGTTTTGACATTTCGACTACATCTCCTTTGGCGCGAAGATCCTCCATAACTTTTTTCCGAGAAACGATCAGCAAAAACGGAAGTCAGATTCGGAATCAGCGCTCCAAGACGAGTGTATTGGTATAGGGGCCTGCAGGATCGCGAGAGTCGGACGCGCGTACGGCCTTTGCGCCGCGCACGCCTGATATCGCTGGGTAGTAGTCGATTAAGGCTAGATAGGTAAGTTTTTTTGTTTTTCTTTACATTTCACGCCTTCTTTTCTTTTCAGACGGTGAGCACATGTTGGTGCGGAGGAGTTTAAGATCTGAATTTAGGTGAGCTGCAGGATTATGCTCAATACGGACTCAGTATTGCAGACCTTCCATGCCTGTTGGTTGAGATGTTGGATTTTCTGTCCTGGCTCCCTGTTACAGCAAACTGTTCTATTTCTACCGTCTATTCTACCTTATCTTGCATATTGCTTGTGATGATGATGATGATGATGATGATGATGACAATGATTATGATTGTGATGACGCGCATGATGCAAGATGAGGTAGAACAGACGTTGCAAATAAAACGGAGTTTCGAACCGGGCAGGCAGGACGAAAAATCGAACATAATCGGACAGCCAGAACAGAAAACTCAACATTCTTCAAAGCAGGGGTGAAAAGTCCACAATATTGGCCCGTATTGAGCATAATCCTGCACCTCACCTTAATCTAGATCTTAAACTCCTCTGCACCAACATATGTTCGCCGCCTGAAAAGAAAAGAAGGCGAGAAATGAGAAGAAAAACAAAAAAATCTCACCTATCCAGCCTAAATCGAGTACGACCCAGTGACATACGACGTGCGCGGCGCAATGGCCGTACGCACGTCCGACTCTCGCGATCCTGCAGGCCCCTATATGCATCTCATCTCAAAAGGTCACGGACACCAAGTATCGTCCCCTTGTAAGAGGTTTCTTACTGTCCGAAGTCTTGCGCCAAAAGGCTTTTTCAGCGCTGTCTTTTCGAGAGATCACTGAGACTTCCGGAACTTCCAGAAATGGTTTTTCCAAAAAATACGCTTATTGTCGACTTCATACAATTCCCAGGTTTGTTATATAGTAATTCGCATTTTATAATATGTATTGACCTGCTCTTCACTTGAACACTTTTTTGCGCGATCCATCTACAAAATGTATGATGTGCAAAGAAGGTGCTTTCTCCAACTTATCATAACTAGCGACCCTGCGGGTCGCTGTAATTGCCAGGGTTGAGCGTGGGGTCAGGCGCGCCCGACCTGGGGGATCGTATTGAGGGTAAGACTGGGGGGGGGGGGGGTCGTAATTAAGAATCGAATCTGTTAAGTTGGGGAGATACTGCGAAGGTGAAGAAGAAATGCGCTAGTCCGGTGGATATCGCGATCACATGAAGGAATGACGGTCATGAACAGCATAGTGATTGTTTCCACAGTGAAAGTTTCAGCCAAAATTCAAATCTTCATCTCTTTTACCTTGACATGTGAGGTCGACAAGGAAGCTTGCTTTTGAAATGGGTATCATTTTCATAATTAGCATGTCAAATTACCTCTGCGCGCTCTACAAACCATTAGCTACTGCAGTTTCTAGTGTTTCTCAACGTCTAAAAAGCGCGGTTGCCAAACGTGATCAACTTGATTTCAGAAGTGAGAAAAGTCAGCTTTTGTATACTCATAACAAAGTAATGTTCTCTACAAGTCTATGCTACAAATCGAGCTTCATATCGCTTTCAAATAGTGAAATAAGAAGTGCTGCCATAATCCCCACCGGCGCGTTTTTCACGGTGAGCGCTTCAACTTCTCGGATTAGCACAAGGCCGAAACAAGTCGAACCAAGCTCAAACACTTACTGTGGAATTTTCGAGGATTGAGGTAGCGAATCACATAAAACTTGGATAGAAAAGCTTTTTCGGAAATAAATTTAATGGGGTCAGGCGCAACCCCTTAAAGGCAGCGTCCAGGCAGATCTGGACCTATGGGGCTTTTACGTGCAAAGTACTTTTGGGGCCCCAACTAAGGCACTGCCCAAGCGGCAGTTCAGGTAGTGCTCTAATGGCTGAGATATTCCCCTCGAAACTGGCCCCGCGAACGTATTCGCATGGATTCATGGCAGTTTCGCGCCAGGATCCACGCTTTGCGCCATGAATGCATGCGAAACGCGGTCGCGGGGTCCAGTTTCGAGGGGAATATCTCAGCCGTTACAGCACTACATGAGCTGCCGCTTGGGCAGTGCCTTAGTTAGGGCCCCAAAAGTACTTTCCACGTAAAAGCCCCATAGGTCCAGATCTGCCTGGACGCTGCCTTTAAAAGGTCAGGCCGCCTGAGCTTTTGAGGGGTTGCGCCTGACCTTCTTAACTTGCCTTCAGAATTCAAAAATCGCCCCTTTTTTGATATGAGTATTGAGCGCAAAGCCTCTTCTTGCTATAATGAAAATTTGGAGCCAAACACTCCACCCCTGTGAAAATTATAGCTCTGAAAAGAGGACTATCCAGATCTAAAACTTGCCGTCAAGTTGCGTGTGGTTGTGCAATCGCAGAAAGTCGGCCTACAGACTTTTAAAAAATATAAACCTACAGTGAAGGCTGGTTCTTCAAAATATAACACCCTGAGGACTTGGAGGTGAAGCGGAGGGTCGTTTAGGGGCTTTCACAGGGGGGGGGTCGTTTTTGAAGGACTCGTGCCTGACCTCTTGCTCAACCCTGGTAATTGCATCGAAGCAGATGCACTTACATGCTTGCATTTCAATCGCTCTATAGAATCGTACCCGAAGGAAGGCAAAAGACCTCTCACGAAGAGAGATACAACAATCAGACAGTGTATACATATTTTAGGATACCTATATTCTTAATCAGCTTGCTCTTATCCTTCTGCGCCAGTTTATAGCCTCGTAAGTAAATCGTTGCAAAAAAAAAATGGACAAAACCACATCGATCAATGACGAAAAGTAGCCTACGACACACTCTTCGTCCCGAAGTGTACGTGTGCTAAGTTTGATTTGGAGCGGTCCGAAATCAAAATATCTATTGGGAACATACGTACAGACATAACACGTAAGGCAAACACACATTCATATTCAGCAATCAACACATATTCAGCTTTATTTATACAAATTGCACGTTTCAAGCTCAATAATATGAAGGTGTTGTATCAATCATAGATTGAAAAGTCATTTTGGTACTATTCCATTCAACACAACCCAAAAATTGAAAATCACGGATTTCGCTGAAAATTCGCTCGAAGGGGTTACTCGACCTCATGATCACGTGAGGAGTTACGGTAGGCATACGGTATGGGGTCAGGATCTCAGAATTCGCTAAAACTTTGAGTAGCGATGTTATTCGACATGCTGATCGCAAGTACACTCTTTTACTGCATGAGAAGAACCTCTCCTTGTACGGTTACGGTAGGTGTATGGTAAGGGGTCAAAGCCGTAGATCTGCCTGAAACTTTGTGTTGGGTATCTGATGTGCTCATCACGAATACTGCGCTCATTTTGCTTATGACGCGTTTTCGTGAATTTTTGGTATCTTGATTGGTCTGAAGAGCTGGGAAGGCGCTTCCCCAAGCTCTACAAATTGCCATAACTCCACAACAAAGCGTTGCTGTAGCGAGCTAGAAAAACCCCTCTAGGCGACGATTTAAGCGATTTTCAAATTTTTACCTATGTACCGTGTATCGTCGTAACTCGAAAAAATGGCGCTACCGTACAAAGTCAATATGATATCCATTTTCAGCGTGCTAGATAACCCGTACAAAACCAAATTCCAGCCAAATCTAGGTTTTGACTCCCTACTATGCACCTGCCGTAGTCATACAGGGAGAAGTTTTCGTGCGGAAGAAGTGTGATATTTGTGATCAGCATGTCGAATAACCCCCCTACGCAAAGTTCAAGCGAATTCCGAGATTTTGACCCCATACCTATGCCTACCGTAATTCCTCATTAAACCCCATCACTCGAAATGGCCATCACCTTCGTAATCAGCAGGTCGAAACCCTTTCAATTTTGGGTTGTTTCAAGTGGAATAGTGCGTCATTTTATCTTAGGGCATGAAAATTTCGATTTACAGGCTCCTCAATCAGCTTCAGTGCCTTAGAAGCTCTCAAAATGGTATCAAGCGATACACTGCCCGATGTACAGGTACATATTGGGCATGTTTACTTTTGATGAGGCTAATGGTGACATAAACGAAGCATGTCCTGGACAGATCTCGGAACCCCTTCAGTCGAGTGACTAAGGCCCGTATGCACTAACATTTTTGCGGCGAGGGGAGCGGCGTCCCCCGTTATGAAGGGACCGCGTGCGGACGCCGCTGCGGCTTTTTCATCATTGGGGACGCCGCTCCCCTCGCCGCAGGGATGTTAGTGCATGCGGCCCTAAGTCCCGCATGCATTAACATACCCCCAGGGAGGGAATCGCAGCTTCAAAGAAAGCTTCATATCCTGAAGCTCCAGATATCTGGATTTCACGTTGTCTGCCTATCCAAAGTGCTCCTACTATCCCACTTTAAACATACTGAGCAGGAGCAAGAAGCTGTACAAGCTGCATTTTCCAGCTTTTTGAGTGATCTGCTGATGATCCGCGGCGGCTGTTTTTCTTTTCTTCAAAGTTATTTTTCTTTTTCAATTATATAGAAACTGTGCCAGAGTTTTACTGATTGTCTAACCAAACAATGCTAAGCATTTTTCTGAAAAGAACAAATGATATGTCGAAGTCGTGAAAAACGCGAGAACCACAAGTCGAAAGGGGTTCATCGAAAATTTCGATATTTAGCCACATGCTAAGCGCTGTTAGGTTAGATAATCAGTACAACTTTGAGATGTTCGATGAGTTCGAAGAAAGGAAAATGACTTTGAAGAAAAGGTGGTCACTGGGGATCATTAGGGGATCAAACAAAAAGCTGGGAAATGCGGCTTATGCAGCTTCTCGCTCTTGTTCAATTCATCTATAGCGAATGATAATAGGAATACCTACGGATGGGTAGACAGCGTAAAATCCAATATCTGGAGCCTCAGGATTTGAAGCTTTCTTGTGAACTGCGATTGTTAATGCATTCACATCCCTGCGGCGAGAAGGGGCATCCTCAATGATGGAAAAACAGCAGCGGCCATCGTTCGCGGTCCGTTCATAACGGCGGGCGCAGCTCCCCGCGCGACATATCAACGCCATTGGCTCGGGGGAATTGCCATTGCGAGTTATCCATCCCTCCTTGGCTTTCTGGATGCGCTAAGTCCAGTGCTGTGCTTGAAATTCCTCGAAGTTGTCAAATATTAGATTTTGTGGCGTTTTTCGGCCTTGAAGATTGCTGAAGGGGCTGGACGAGCAGTTCTCACTAATTGAAATGCGATTGGTCGAAATGGGTGGGACTCCAACCATACAGTCTCCTGCAGCCAGTCGCTGTTTGCTGCAGCACCTAGGCTCAGCGCATTTAGAAGGCCAAGGAGAGATGGAAAACTTGCAGACGCATTCTTCTAATAGAAGTTAGCATGGGTTTGGTACGCCTGTAGCAACAGCCCGCTCAAATCTTCTTGTTTAATTCTTCACTATTAGCGCTGCCCAAAAAAATTTGTCAAGCGTTGTTGTTGCGCAGAACAAGATCTACTTGCTTGTTTTTTGCTAATACTGAGTAGAAAAAAACCTCGAGAAGTGCTTGTAATCATGTAGGTAAGTCCACCAAAAGCGTTAAGCTTTGAAACCATATGGTTTGTTATCGCGAAAATGCAGTTCGATAGGAAGCGCATCAGTAGTACTTGGAGGAAAAGGCGATCAAAAAGCGCGATTTGAAGTTGTCACTAACTCAATCCTAACTAGTGCTTTGCGATTAGCTGTTTGATGGATTGTTACTAGTGAGTCCGCCCGCTGCTAGTAAATATTTGCGAATATGCTGTTCAGTGCATTCTCGAACGTTTTTAGAAGACGGTCAAGAGGCGCGATTTCTCCATCTGACTCAGAAGTCCAGTTCACCTCTTTGCGAGTTTAAAAATACCAGACAAAGTGCTTCGGCTTACTAGCTGTTTGTAGTCATCACTTGCTGAGTTTGATGTGGCAGAACGACAAAGATATTCACAAACTTGCAATTAGTTGTCATTGGTTTGGATCAACATTTTTGTTCTAAATCAAATTTAGAGTAATGAAGTCGGATAGCCCATGCAGCTGCCTAATATCCTTCTTAGCAGTGGCGGTCCAAGGGGGAAGGGACCCCCTCCCCCGCCCCTCCCCGAGAATGGGTCGCAAAGTTTTCGAAATTTTCTTAGATGAGTTCTAAAATGTGAAGATGACTTGTTTGTTCTTGTAACTAGTTTAAATAATTTTTAAAATTTTTAAAGAATTCAAATTAGCTTTATAAAAATTTTTTTCGGGGCGTGGCTGCCGCCACACCCCTCTAGATTTTAGGGATTATGGGCCCGCAAAAATCCTCAGAATTACCCCAAAAATTGTTTGGAGTGAGTGGCTAACGCCACGCACCTTCATCTCAAAAAATTCTTCCGCCTACCCCCCCTCCCCCCCCCCCACGGACGGAAATCTTGGGACCGCCACTGCTTCTTAGATACTTTATATGCTTTTGAAACGTCATGAAGCAGCGAATTTTTTGTGAAGCTGGCAAAAAAATCTTGCCTCGACATGCACTCAAGGGTTATACGTTTATGCATTAAAACTTTTGAAATAATAAGACTGAACAATTCAAGCAACTATCTCTTATGTCTTAGTAGAAATTTGGAATGTTTTTAGGACTTCAAAACTCGAAAGCTGTGCTAATGACGTCCGATAATAACAATTGCGCCTCTTGACATACGCTTCATGAAGTAACAGTGGATTTTGACGGAATAATCGCATAAAAAAGGGATTTATATACTAATAAAACTTGTCAATCAAAAAGAGTTCTCTTTACTTTTCGCCAGATTCAAGGAAGCACCATTTCCTCACCCTTTTGCGAGAACGTTATTTCTAAAGTCAAACCTTGGCGTTGAAAGGCAAACTTTTCTACAAGATTCAACGATTTCTATTTTTGCTTGCAATAATAAATGTAACAAATTTTTCGAGGTAGCTCCTTCGTCTGTTTGGCAAGAAGCGAGGCAGGGAATGACAGGAAGAATGGCGCATCCTTTCGACTGGACTTTTACTTCTAAATACGCTGGAAGTGTACAGAATTGCACGGTGAGTGATACCTATCGTCAACGTGCATTCCTAGAGCAATTTCGATTTTGATGGCAGGTTGAAGTCACTAACGATCCGATCGACTTAGAACGCCTAAAGCGCCAGGAGCCAATAGGTTTCTACGCTCAAGTCACGCTGTATGAAGACGAGTTAGCTGATCATGGCACAGCACAGGTAGGGAAGAGTCGGAACCGAGTTGGTCTGAATGTCTTACTACTATAATTTACTGCTGATCCAGATGTCTGTTCGGATTCGCGTCATGCCAGATTTCTTTTTTGTGCTCATGCGCTTTTATCTCCGTATAGACCGGGTACTAGTACGGTTAGTTTGATCTCGAAAGTTTTTGTATGACAGTAGTGAATTTGAACTTGAAGGGTATGCGATACTCGTTTGGTGGGTGATAACGGCAAAGATTACGTGATAAGGGAATGGAGCCTTCGAGAGGCGAAGGTAGCGGATTTGCAACATCTTGTAAGTTTAAGCCAGTTAATTATATTTTTGCTCGTCACTACGAGTGATGAGATTATTTTTGCGATGGAACTCAACGTTGTTTGATTTCTATGTCTTTTCAGCCACCGGAGGTCTTACTTGACGGAAACCAAGTGTGGGCATCACTTCCCGTTGTCGAAATGAAAAACGAAAAAATTACACCGATCTCTTCGTAGATCTTGCTTGTGCTAACCTCAACTTCTTCCCACTGCCTCTTGTTCGATACTATTATTGTACAAATTTTTATCTTCTCGCTCATTGCACATAATCTCGATAGTGACATTAGTGCGATTTTAAGGGTGCGGCCAGCGACTTTAAGCAAAATTGAAAGGAAAGTAAAATTAACCGAATGCGCTGCGAATCTGGATGCTTTTGAGTTCAGTGGTATGTTTAGCATCGGATGAGCCAGAAGAAGTAGCTAAAAAAGGCGATTTCTTGAAGCACGACCATTCATTTGAGCATTAAAGCCATCGTAGAGATTAACTTGCTTCAACCATTTCAATTACCTATACTACCGTTCTTGAGAGATTGCAACCTATTGTGTGTGAAGATCCCCAACTTCTCCACCGCCTTTTCCCCTTTTTACACTAGTATGTCCCATTTTTCACAATTTATATGGTGCGACTAGTTGAAATACTGATTGAATAAAGTTTGAGATTGTAAAATTCGCAATAGAACATGTGAAATAAAGCCATATGAAGCTCTGTGCTGAGCAAATAAGCTCTAAGGTGATGCCAATCGCCCTTCGAAGATGCAGTTGAGCAGAAATGCTGCTCGATTTATCCTCTGCTCTGCTTGATCCACCGCCGATGCTTGTCAGTTGTTCGATAATGCGAGGGAGGAGAGTTCACATGGGGTGACTGGCGGAAATGTGTCCGTAGACTTTTTGGCGTCTTTATCGCTGCATCCATGTTTTTCTCATTTTATTGCTAATGATACATTTAGTGAGCTTTTGCGTAGGTTGGAAAAAATCAAGTCTGCTTCTTCATAGGCGTAAATGCAGTTGCCATAATCTCCTTATAAATTTTTCTCTATCTGGTGTCAGACCGGCACGTTGATCGAGTTCATAGCGTTTGCTGTTCTATAACAAAGTCGCCGTGTTAGACGATGCACATTTTTCGTTCTCATTTTTTAAAAATAATCTCATTGATAAAAAAATTGCGCAGCAATTTGTTCATGTTTGCGCACTATGTATACATTGGAAAGGTTGCCAAATTGCCTACACGGATATTTTCAGAACTATTCAAAGACGACCATGCGCAATATAGATCTGCTGCAAACGCAGTTGTGAAGCATGAAACAAAATGCAGCTTGCTCTGTTTTTCTCCAGCTATCACAGAAAGAGCCCATAAACTTTGTCCGAAGAAAAGTGAACGTCAAGCAACTATAAAGCACAGGTTCATGTAGACATGCTCAGTGATAATACCTCCCCCCCCCCCTCCCCCTCTCCCCGAGAATGATCGCGAAATTTTTGCAAGTAGTTTGCATGATTTATAAAATTACGTAAGCGACTTGTCTATTTGTACGTAACTGAAATGATTCTTTGTGAGAAAAATTTTTCCGGGGGAAGTGGTGCTGCGGGTCTTCCTTTTTTTTTGAAATTTCGGGGTTATGTGCTCTGAAATTTCGTAAGCACCTCAAAAATGTTTCCGAAGATTTCATTTGACTTCATTTTTGTCCCGCCCCCGACAAAAAATTTCTCGAAAAGCTACTGATGCACTTCAACAAAGCTGGACGGACTCGATCTCTCCCTAATCAGTATTACCTACAAGGTTTGAATCTCAGCTTGCAACTTGAATTGATACTTGAATTTCGATTTGAACATTTTGCTCAAAAACCTTCAAGAAAACTGATCGGTCGTACATTGCAATATTTGTTGTGCATAATAAATTTTGAATTTTTCAAAACATATGTGAACGATACTTCGATATTAGAATCGAATAGTTGGTAAAAAATACCCACGAAACACGTACACGATCACCGAATTTCTTAATGTCAGTTACAAAGTGTAACTGACATTAGAATTCAAGAGAATTGACCAAAATTAGAATCGAGTTTTTCCAACGACCGAGTTTTGAAAAAACATTTTGAATTTTTAACTTTATCAGTTTGTATGACGCCATATGCCATTAACGATTTTCATTCCAAGCAATGCGAGAAAGAAAACCGCTTCGTTTTCTCCTTGAACGGGTGTTACCACGACTGTAAAAAAGCTTTCGTGCAAGACTTTTTGTATTAACATCATGTAATTAACTGAAATATGTTCTGTTTTATCAAATGACTTGACTCCTTTAAATGAATTTTCTTGAGCGATATTGTAACATACTGCAATTTTTGGTTTTTTTGTATTATTACAATATTACAATAATCAGATTAATATGCTTTCAAATTATAGACGATAGTCAACGCTCAAGATATGTATTTCCTTTTTCACAGAAAATTAGAGTAATCTATAGTTTCCGCTATTTCCGATGTGATCATGGATGTTCCTGCCACCTGTTTTCGACAGATTTGAAATGAATGACAATGTCAAGACGGGGAACTTGTCGTAGCAATCACTAACACATGCTCAAGCAAGAAATCACCGGTGTCGCGCGTGACATGGAAAAAAGTTAGATAGCGGAAATTTCTATCAAATAAAGCAAGCCACGTAAAAAGAAGCCTTCAACTATTTCGTCTCAATGCGATACGGAAATGTTAAGTTAGGCCAATCATTTCCAGTTCACCATTAACCAGTCATTCTAACTTCTTGAAACACTAGTAAAATTAATTAGGAATTGATGTCGCTTACATGATTGACCTATGATACACGTTGATTATGAACCTGATTCTAGTATTTCAACTTCAAGCAGATTCAGATTTCTCCGATATCACTGTGGTTGTTCTCTTTAAGTTAAAAGACTACTCAATAGTTCATCAGTTTGATTAACCCTATACCACTTAAGCGACTAAAAGAGAAAAGAAAGGGAGAGGGCGGGAACAAAATAGGTCGCTCTATGAGTCTCATGTGACGTTCACATTTTTCAAGTTCAAGCAATGATTTTTGCTTTCGTGTTATTGCTCACCTCAATGCAGTCCCAAATAGGTGTTTTTCGTGTAATTATGTTTTCGAGTATCAATACAAGCACTATGTGTGCTAGCGAATCTTTAGCAAGTGCATGTCGCAGCTATCTGAGCTGCAAAATAAAATCCATGTGCTAGACTGCATCCTTCTCTATGGTGTTTAAACCTCCCTCAAAATATGGCTAGATCTTCAAATCACTATTTTCTTCTATTTAACATTCCCAAACCTCGGCCACTCATTAGTCACTGCCGTTGCTGAATGTCTTGAATGAACAGTTATCTTGGTTCCTGATGCATGGAACTGCATTTACCAGAGAAAAAACTGTTTACACAGAATTGTTTCTAACTTTAGTGCTGAGTCAGCTATGTCATTGCGTTGCATTACGTCAAGGGTTAGGTCAGATGCAATTCACCAGCTTTAAACACTACAATTCATATCGAGGATAGCAGAAACACATGTTCGGCGCATCAAGTCGGTTTTTTTCCTGCTATGTGATGCGAATAGTGGGAGCAGGAAAATTGCTATTTTAGTGTTCAAAATTCTGCTGCAACAATTTTATGAGAAAGTTGATCCACACTTTTCTGGAATCTCATGTGATAAAAAGTATAAGCGACTGCATGAAAATATAAGAATAGAAATCGGAGAGGGTCTAGAAATTAAAACTCCTTTTAAGGAAAGGGGCGAAACGGACTAAATGAGGTAATTATCTCTTCTTTATTGAGAATGATTGAAATGGTATTCTACCTTTCAGATTGCTAAAGCAGAAATAAGCAATGCATTCTTTCACTAAAGTAATCTGTCTAAAAATTGCCTCACCGCTTCCCCCTGCGCCGAAAAACCACTGCTTTCAATTTAATGTTCAATGTTCCTTTCAGGATTAGCCTCTTTATCACTTCCACCTTGACGAACAGAAGTTCAAAAGTGTTCGCTAAACGAAAACAACTTATGACAAATGTTCTTCGTGCTAGTCGGTGAACATAAGTATCCTGTTACTAAAATACTTTTTATCAATTTACACTGCACACTTCTCAATATCCCGTAATTTGAGCCGTTTAGACTTCTCAGACTTCACTGTTGAGAAAATGGAAACTGCGCTTACGTCGGTAATGATGATTGGTACAGTTTAGGAAAAACTATTGCTTGAGCTATTGCTCAGTACTTGTTTTCTTTTTTCGAAAATTTTGGGCAACAAATACTTTCCTGAAGGTTGTATGGACAATAGTTGCCATACGCTCTAATGATATTTTTATATACCACTAATCATTTCATCTAGAGACATGGCATCAAATTTTTTCACTTCCTTGAGTGCACATCTTGAAGCTGCAGAGCAGAGCGGTGTAAATCTTTTCTGAATCAAACACGATATCCGTTAATTTCACATAATTGGACTCTCGATAACATTTCACACGCTTTCTTAAGAAGTTGCACTGGTTAAGGCGGTTCCTTCTGAAAATATGTTTAGTCGAGTGGAAGAGGGAACGGCAAGGCAATGTAAAGCGTTGTATCTTTTCTTTTTGTGATTAGTTTTGACCTCAGAGACTATTATTTTACGGCTTTCCTATAGTTTCACGAAGTATCCGAGCCCAATCTGTGAAACACAGTCCAGTTCATCACAGACCATGACTTGCAGGGCTCGGCACCAGCTGCAACCAAGGAGACAAACGAAGCCTCTTCAATTTTGGAAGTTGTTTACAAAACCTCCTTTGACTTTTTCGACGCCCCTTGATCAGAAAGAACATAAAAAGAGAAAGGGAAATAGAAAGAGAAGTATAACATATCGAACTTGGTTTGCTTAGGGGCGCGCTTTGCGATCAGAGCGGATTGCTCCGCCCATGGATATTTTGACGATTAAAAAAGCCTAGAAGAGAATTATAACCATCTTTTGCTAACCAAGCACTCTTTCGTTTCTCTTACCATTTGCTGTCTCTCCCAAGCACGAACTATCTTGGCCGGACTCAGGGGCGCCCAGTTTCTGCGTGTCACGAATCGTGTGTATGTGAGCAAACGATCTGTTCAGCTCAGCTGAAACCCAGGTTCTAGCTAATTGAAAAAAGTTGAGCACGGCTTTCATCAACCCGGTTCCAGCTCTGCTGCGACCCTGATTCTTATGTCACTGTTACCAAATTTACTCTCTTGTTTACCAACTTGTCTCCCGTCAGCAGGCATGTTAGCTGGTTCAAAACAATGTGTGGGGTTGAACATTAGTCTCGCAAAAGAAGATTTTAGAGAAATTTGTTTGAGATGGGTAAAAGGCTATTTATTCATATTTTACTTTTTATTATACGCAATAGCTCTTTTTATACAATTCGCAAACAAATTTGGCTTTTCTTAGGGGCATTTTATCAGCACATTATCGCAAACTTTATTTTTCTTGGAAAAAGGAGTCTCTACATCAAAGCAATCCTCTTCGAAGTTTTAGAAACTCAAAGCTGGAAAATTACATCAGATATTGGCCTGTATTGCGCCATTCCAACAGTAACTTTGCTTCAAACGCTAGCAGATGAGGTATGAGTTCCTCCCTCCAAAGTGGTGCAAAATTTGTATTTCCACATAAGATCGTGGGTCAAAATAGAACCAAAACAAAGAGATGTTGTAATCTTAGTACAACGAATCATCGTTTATCATTAGCTTCGTTACATGCTATGATATGTAGTGGACAGCTGACGTTTACATTGTCCGTGAATTCTCTATCAAAAAAAGGGCAATTTGGTTCGCTCGGAATTTTGTAATTCCTATCGTTCATTGGGCTCATCTAAGATGCTTTTCAAAACATTATACAGAGCGAGGAAAATTCATTTCTTTGAGAAAATGCAGCATTGCGACATACATTTGGGATGTTCTCACTTGTGATTACCACACTTTCCTATCCTTCCGCTCGATGAGCAGATTAATACCTTGTCCTCTATGAATGTATATCTCAAACTTTGACTGAGGCTTCATATTAGCATCAGATGAAGAAATTCATTAATTAATGAATTGGAGCATAAGCTAGACACATCCAGCTTAAGAAAGTAAGTTTTGTTTAGTTTAGATCAAAGCAAGTGTGTATACGGATATCAGGTACAAAGAGTACTGTGTGCAAGTTGCATGCAGGATTTTCTCAAACGGAGTCATAATTTTTTTTTATTTTTCGGGTGAAGCGAAAAACTGCGGTTTTTAGCATCGCCAAAGAAAGATTTTTAGTTTACTGCGACTCTTTTACCCGCTTTTAACAAATGCTTCTAAACTTCCAAAACCTTTAGTTTGGTGTGGAGCAGTGTTTCCAACAAACTCCACTTTGAAGCTTTATCGGACTTTCAAAAGTGAGACATCTTGTTCGAACTCGTGAGTGTTTTCTTTTTTAGGTCAATCACAAGAATTATTCCATAGTTCTTTCATAATCATGTGGATATCAAGCGATATCAAAATTATGAAGAATCAAAATTCAGACTATCATTGGTGTGCGTTGCTCATTATCATTTAAAAGCGGAAAATTTACTTTAGACGCTTAGGCTTTAATCTCATATTTTACTTCTGCCTTCCACGGACGACTAAGCATGTCGGAACGCATAACAGCCTACGGCAACACTGGAAAATGCGCTAAATCAGCGCGTATTTTACTTTAAAAGCTAAGGTTGTCTTTGAAGTTTTGTCCGCTTTTTTCATCGGTCACTAAAAATCACAGAACACAATCCGTGGACTTCCCAGGAACCAATTGATTCAAATTTTTATCCTCTTTCTTACAGCTTATTTGCTCTTTGATACCCTCTCTTTGCAATGTTATCGCCATGGCTTTTTGAGCAGCTCAGCGGTAACGCCAAATCTTTCCTGAATTTAAAAATTTTTCACCCTGAACGTTTCGAAGAGCGCAGGTGACTGTCATATAGAGCAGACCTTTGACTACATTGTACCCATTTTAGATTACATGGGCTAGGTTTACCAAGTCCGTTATAATTACTTATTTGATAAAATGTGCGGCTATTTGATTACGTTTACCACGTAAAAGTACCGATAATTCCAAAATGCTGCTTTTTTGAAGCAAATCAAACTTGGTTATGTTGCATAAATAATGTTTAATAGGAATCAGCTTCAATTCGCAGATACTGCAAAAACTTTCGTGTATTTGCTGCAGTTGCGTATCTCATGACTTTACCAAAATCGATACCTTCGAAGAAATAATTTTTTGAAGCTAAAAATAGCAGATTAGAAGAGTCGAAAAATATCATTTTGTAGACCGAAAATAGCTCTATTTGATCCATACTTACTTTCCGGAACTTTGGAATGACATTTTCAAAAATTAGCCCAACTTTGAGCAGATAACATTGACGGATGAAGAATATTGGCAATCAACAAAAAGTATACAAGATTGCGGTTTGTGTATCCGTGAAAAGGAGAAGGAAGAGCTGAGTCGAATATACGTTGAAAATCATCGAGGTCTTTATTGTACGAGGTTTTATAGTGGTTTAAAGGCAGTGTCTCACCAAAGTTGAGATTGCGCGGATCTTCACATATTCTATTATAGGGACCTCTAAATAGGCCATTGCAACAAATCCCACTCAATTTGATCCTCTCCACGCTGAGAAAAATTCGCTCAAAGTGGTACGCGGAGAGCGGCTTGGTACGCGCGGACGACTCCTTCGGTCTCCCCCCTTACGCGTTTGAACATGTTCCTCCACTTAGCATCCACCTCCCCTCTGTTGCTGCCATTGGGGCTGAGGCTGAAGTTGGAACGAACAACTCGTCCACGTCGCTTCCGCTGGGCCTCCAGAAAACGGGGTTTCTGTGAACTTCACGCGATTTTAAGCCCTTACAGTGCTAGACAGGGTCCGATAGGCTTGCAAAATGCAAAAATCTCGGCAACTAAATTTTGGTGAGACACTGTCTTTAAAGAAACGGACAATTTTGAGACAACCTAAAATTATAGTCGTGCTGAAGTTTTTATAGTTCTGTGGCCCTAAAATTTCCTAGAGAAATCTATGCGAAGGCTGAAATCAAACGCGGACTATAAGCTATTTCTGTTCTACCTCACACTTATGACAGCATAGCTATAAAAGACGGAAAAGTGCCTTTATCACAGCAGAGGAGATGAAGAGGGAGCGGTAGAATAACCCAGAGTACTAGTAGATTCGCGACTTTCACCAATTCATTTTCCTCGCTTTTCTATATTTAATCTTTATTTCATTTTATCAACAGTACATCTCTCTTTCTCTCTTACTAAAAGTGCTAATACGATAAGTAGCTGATTGTTTTCAAATTAAAGGTTGCGGAAGAATGAAACTGGCCATATCCAGAGCCTGTAGTATGAATGCAGAGCCATGCATCGATGTTTACCCATTCCAGAATAATGTTATCGCTTCCATGGAATCGCACGGGACCGGTACGAATTCTGGATCTGCAAGCTCTGAATGACTTGAGAAACAAACTTCCAGTCTTTACGGAAGCGTCCTCAGAAGTTCTGCTTAACATCTTCGTTTCTATAATAGTGAGTGTCTACCAAACCAAATTCGATAAAAGAACAACGATTATTATTGTCAGGTTATTGCATTCATATCTCATCAAATCGCTTCCCTGGTTCTCTCTTCACCACGAAGAGAACATCAGGAACAGGGACTTCAAGCTCCGAAGAAAAGGAAGATACGAAGTGAAAGAGGATGTGGAGAGGACTCAGCATTTGCAGATCTACACGAACATATATTCAAGGCCAATGAAGTAACGATTTAGTGGTATTTGTGGGGCTAGGAAAATCTATGGGACTTTGTAGATCCTTTATCACATTCCTTATATGCACGAAACGGAGATGCTACGAGCGTCACAGTATTTCTATGAGCAAATGAGAATGCGAAGAAGTGTACGCAACTTTTGTTCGAAGGCAGTTCCATTAAAGGTGGTACAGAACCTCATCAAAATCGCAGGTAGACAATTTTTGGTATGTATAGGATATATGATTATTACAACTGTCTTCAGGATGCGCACCTAGTGCTGGGAACGCTCAACCATGGAAATTTTGCATAGTGGTCGATGACAAAAAGAAAGCAGATATCAGGAATCTGATAGAAGCTGATGAAGGAACGAATATTATACAGAGGTAACTCCTCAAGTCCGACAACGGGAGGATGTCCAGGGTTGCCGGTGTGCCAGCGCTATATCAAAGCCGTCCAGCGCCCATCAAGACAAGTTGAATGCGCCCCGTGTTGTTCGGTCGATGGGCCCGGCGGTGGAACGGCGCTGGCACCGCGTTGGCGATGCCGGCACGAGCAACCCTGGAAGCTGCTCACGCAATATGTTAGAGGAATTTTTTCGCCTTAAGGAAAGGCGAAGGTTCTGAATGGGTCATGGGAGTTTCTCAACTACAGCAGAAGTGGAGAAGACCATACCTTACCGATGCCCCCCTAGTACTAGTTGTTTGCCACGAGGTACGCCGCAATATACTCATGAATGTAATGAGCGTCGCAGTCTCCATTGGATTTAGATTTTTCGCATTCAGATCTTCACAGATATCGATGGCAAAATGCTCCGGCTTCTTCATTATAATGAACTTAGTACGGCGATAGCGATTGGAATGCTGCTGTCAGCAATACAGGTACGTTTTTGGGTGTAAATAGAATATGTTCCTGTTTCATAGAGATGTTGTCGAAATGAACATTTCATTCACTTACATAAGCCTGGTCTCGGCACGAGGTGGGCAATCAAGCTGGGAATCGTTTTGGATGGAAAGCAAAGAAGATACCGTAGATATGCTTACATTTGCATACACTCTCTCGAAAAGTTACTACACGACTGACAGCAAGGACACGATCTTGCGCGCGCATCATCTTCAAAATTCAATTTTTTCATTGAGCTGTAATTCAATGTCTAAGTTACGGCGCATATTAACGACATTAAGAATTTGGAGTATAAACGACATGGGCTAGAAAGATCATAATGCAGTGCATGTGGAAAAATTATGCGACTGAAGGTTGTGGCAAGCTTTTTCTGACGATTTCTCACTTCCACAAAATGATCAAATGGCTCTTTGAAGGCATAGATGACGATATAGCACGAAATTCGCTGTGTATGCGCACAGTAGGGCTAAGAGTATGAAAAATTGTGAGAAGCTTAAAGAGCGTGCTTAACTTTTTTTCAAATTAAGTGTGCAATTGCCCACCTAATGCCCACTGAGGTAGGCAAAACATCCATTCCACATAAGTTTTTCAAAATTTATACATAAACTTTTTCTACACATTTTGGTTCCAAAACTCCTCCTCTCCTTCTTATTAGCATCCAAAATAGCAACGACACCGGACCTTCTGAGGAAGAAAGTGCGCTCCAATCGAACAACTTACGTAGCTGGTGGGATCAAGCGGGAAATCGTTAAAATCGATAGTGGCAAAGGAGATTCCGTTTCGACGATGTCCATTTGCCATCCCCTGCTTGGCCCTGAGTTAAGCCATTACATCCGCAAAAACTGGGAAAACATGTAAGACCCTTCAGAATTTCCTAACAATGTTACCGAAAATTTCGGTTCTTTTCTTTAACAGCTATTATAATTCACCAGTTGTGCTCCATCTTGACTTTCAAGGATAGCTTATGAACTAGGATTTATCGTATCTAACAATACCTTAATTTCACGCTTCAAAAATAGCTTTTTCGACTTTTCTGAGTCGCAGCCGCTTCACTATATTTCGGAAAGCGATCCTTCGGCCGCACGATTCTTTTGAGTAAAATTCAACACGTATGGGGTCCTTTGGTTGCCGATTCCCTCTGGTATGTTTGGGCTGGTCGATTTCTGACACACTGGTAGGTAGTCCTTTGCACCTCGTCAACACTCGTTGAACACAAAAATTTTCGAAAGTTTCTGAGATTTTCAAGAAATAAAAATAAAAGTGTAAGAAATTATTCGACAACCTTTTATTTCATGAAACTTATCTTCACACACATTTCCAACACTTACAGTATGTTGGCCTCAGTACGGTCGTTACGTCTCCACTGAACGCCGGAGCTCGCATTTCACGTCTTCTGCATCGACCGGACAATGAGACTGTGGGTGATGAAAGTCTTATGAGTATAATAATAATTGCTTGTTTTAGGTATTACTGCTGCTACCACTGGGTTACGCTGCTGCGGATGCGCTGGTGCCAGAACTCAAAAGAAAATCTATACAGAGTTTTACCAGCATCTATTGAGTAAAACTTCCATCTTTCGAGTCTTCCGACTATGAACCATCAGCCAACGTTCGATTGAATAACTTCAACGTCGTGGTTCGCATGCCTGTAAAAATTGCTCACATAAATATGTTACCGTCCTGCTTGGCTTTCACTGTTTCGGCTATTTTATTGAAGAAAACGAATCGATTTACATAACGACTAAATCGATTAGTCAAAAACTTAGCTTGTTAGAAATGGGAGGTGTCGGATCAAGCCTTTGCAACGTCAGTTAAATCTACAGGCTGCACAGTGCAACGTGTTGTTGGAGAATGATGGTCTATGTTCACGCACTCGCTCGTCGCGAGATGGGTAGTCGGCAAAGGAGACTCATTATTCAAGTTTATCAAACATATTGGATTTGTTCTGACCTTGCAGCTATTTAAAAAACAAGCAGATTTTGCTGTGAGTCCTTTTGAACTCTTCGCTAGAGATCAACCACGGAACATATCCCACGCTGCAAGGACGCTTCCGTAGAACAAGCATTGGGAGCCAGGAATATTGAGGTAAGTTCTAAACCAGAGAAGTGGCTGCATCTTTTGATCAGCTTTATTTCGTTCGTTTTATATTTTTACTAACTGAGTCACCCGGCTTTGCATGGACCCTGTGAATACATTATGGCAGAGATATCCCACTTCCATAAACGTTTCCCTATCTCACTGCACTTTTATGCGGCAATTCTTTGCTGCCAGTAGAACAGGACAGGCAATTTGCCATACTTCCCAAGGGTTTCAATTAGTAATGATGGAAGCGCAAAAGACACTTCTGTGCCTTCTACCCGTCCACTGTGGCCGGATTTTTTGAGCGCTTATCCATCAGTTTGCTTCACTTTTTCCACATCATTTTAGATCATCAAATTCCGAATCTGCTTAGACAATCTTCCTTCTGACCTTTATAACTGCTATACTGTTTGTTATAGTGTCAGGTTGAATTTGCGGTCTATTTTGGTTATTCCTCGGTCTTTCTCTTGCACTGGTTTCAACCAGTTATGTCGGTCAAAACGTACCTCAGATCAATGCGAACAGCAAAAAAAAACTCCGGCTTCTCACACCCTTTTCAAATGTGTCCGAATGCGGAGGGGACGCGGGAGTTCCTAGCACCTTCAGTTGCACCACCATTCACACTCCGTCGACTCTTCGCACCTTCGCGCAGAGGTCAAGCCCCCCTCCCCCCATCGCTTCACTCTTTTATTGGTCTCATTTGGAGCCTGAAGGCTGCGGGAATAGCATAGCCATGCAAATGCAAAAATTAGTGAAAAATCGTCCTTGCAATGCAAATCCTCGCTATTGCATTTTATAAGGGAAGATACTTTGACAGCCTCGAAAAGTCTATCAGATCTCAAATAAGCACTAAGTGATATTTTCTTATAAAGAAGGTAATAATTAGCAAAGATAGTTTCTGTCTTTACGTCACCATAGATCAAAGCCCCGAAGTTTTCTTGAGGATTACTATCGGCACTTTGATCCTGTTTACGACCAAATTCAAAATTACGAACTTTAAAGTGTAGTCTTTAAAAACTTGTTTTTCTGAGAGTAGCCAACGAAAAGTTAAATCGGATAACTATGTTGAAGCACAAATCTCACCTCTAGAAGCCATTTAAGTTTGAATTTTGGTAGGCTGTTGCTTTGATTCACACGAGAACGAAACGATCAATAAGTAATAAATATAGTAGGTTGGGTAGAATCGTTTTGGTATGCAAACTAAATCCACAAAATTTCAGCGGATCTTTGGCTCAAATTGTATTTGCAAAAGTAGTACCAAACCTCTCTAAAGAAGGACGCTTCTTATCATTCATTATTTTGCTCCAAAACAGGTTCTGTATTCCATAGAGCAAAGCAAGCTTTACAAGGTAGTGTTCTGATTTAAATCAAATTTGAAATGCGCGAAATTGTAACCAAAAACAGAATCCAGCTGTAAATCGAAAAGAAAGTCGAAAACTCGTCAGAAAATTTGAGACACCTGCAATTTTCTCAGTAGATACACTTACAATCACAAGTACACAAGTACACTTATCTCGGCTGGAAATGGGAAAATGGAGGTTTTCTTACTTCCGACAGAGCGGTGCCAATAACCTCATGGTCAAAAGACGCTCAGAATAAATTTCTCCTATGTTGCAAAGACAACATGTTAAAAATATTGAAACTCATAATGCTAGTCCGTCTTTCCATTCTTCACTATTTATCCAGAACATTTGAGAACTATCCTTCAAACCTGCACAACTCGTAATGAGACTAGCCACGGGCGGGGCAAATGGGCGGGACGGTATAAGAAGTGCGAGGGTTCCTTGGAGGTACTAAGTACTCCTGTAAGGAAAGGCGGCAAAGCTTTGGAAACTCCTGTGCTGCCGCCTCCGAATGCGCATGATGCCGACTATACCGATGAGGTGTGAATACAGGCGGAGTGCGCCCTCATCCACTGCATCAAAGAAAGGATACTGGCCCAGTAATCAATAAAATGCTGCCCTTTCCGAGAAACTTCATCAAGAAGTCCGCCATGCAGTGGAAAGAGAAAAGTGCTCAGTACTGTAGTCATCAGCGGATTGCGTAAGCGCATTCTGGATTACGTGTTTGGAAGATCTGAGAAAGAATGTAGACGACATTTTTGATGCTTTGATCCGAGCGGGTGTATGTCAAGAGACATGTTTTTTATTGCCAGATGAACACTGATTAGAACATTTTTAGTACTTTATGACATTCTAAGAGCAATTCAAGTTTCTAACAAGATATGTGTGATTGTCCTATGGGTTGCTCCACTTTATCATACGAAATAGATTCAAAACATAACTGTTGGAGATCAAACCCACGTTAAAAAGCACCTAACGGCGTTTTCGTGATTGATTCAATCAGGTTTTCACCAAAATCTGTCGAATTCAGCAAGTGGTAGTTTCAGATAGTTCGTAAGCTAGAGCACTCTCTCTGGCACCGTTAAAAGACTCGCACAGCTATAAATTGGGCTGTTAAATTGGTCTTCAGCGTCTCCCGATCAGAGCGAAGTTTATTGAATCGATAGGCCTGTGGGAAAACGCCTCCGCCTAGTAAAAGCGGTTTTTTTCTCGTGCTACTGGCGGTTGGCGCTTGGAAACGCCCAACTCCAGCGAACCGGTTTCTTCCCCGAAATTCATATACGGAGAAGTATGACCGGAGAGGAAAGGAGATCGGAGTACGAGCTCTTTCATTAAGCGAGGGAACGCAGCAAAGGGGCTACAAGGTGTGAAGGGGCTGTCTACAAAGGACAGCTTAGGCGCGTCTCGTAGCTCCCACATAAACGTTCGGAAAACCATTAGCACTGCATGGCTCAATGCAAAAATTGAGATGTTTTCTTTTCAATTCAGGAAGTATAATGAGTGAGACTGTTCATCTACATGAATTTTTGTACCTTTACGAACCTGATATAGCTTCTCTATGTGAGACGTGGTTGTTTACTAAGATACAAAACTCAGAGTTCTATTTGATCTAGCGTATGCACCGCACGGACGGAAGTATCAGAGCCGAAGGTGGTGTTTGCTGTCTAGCTAAAGCGCATATCGAGATCAAAAATGTTGAGAATGTCACAGTTTCTTTGAATGGCCTTGTTTCTGCTGAATTGCTTTCTCCTTCAAGTTTAAGTCTAACTGCATCAAACTCTACCGTCCGCCTTGAGTATACAACATGATGATGCACAGCTTATCAAAAAACTCAATGATTTGACCTCTTCTCATACTGGAGCTGTTGTTGTTCTTGGCGACCTCAAATCACATGTTGACTGAGATAGTAGTGAGAGCGCTCGATAGTGGTTCGAAAAACCTAGTGAATCTCGTTTGTGATTGTGGATACAAACAATTTGTTCATGGCCCTACTCTTGGAAAACATACTCTTAATTTGATTTTTTTCCGCATCTGATAACTTCAAGTGGAAATTCCTCCGCTTTTTTCTACTGCTAACCATAAAATTATTGAATTCAATGTTGGAGAGAGCTTTATTGCTCAGTCAATTTATCCTAGGCCTGACTTTACATTGGTTTCTTTGGTCTTAATAATCCAATTGGACTTCGTTATTGGTGAACTACTCTGCCCTACAAGGAATAATTTCAGAGGTTTTGCGAAAAGATCTATGAGGATCTTGGCCAATTTGTTGTCATGAGGACAACCATGAACCCATCGTTTATCGATACCGAGATCGTACACTGATTTAGCAGAAACATAATCTCTTCAATGAACTTTACAAGAAGGGGTTTGTTTTGCCCCGATCTGAATTTTCTCTTGAAGAAGTTTCTGGCAAACTACAAGATCCGTTTATCATCCAACGTTTCATTCAAAAGATCGTTTAGATATTTACGAAACAAGCTCCAATCGAGTTCAAATCCATCCGTTCTTCTGAATAAATTTGGTGTAAACCATGCAAATGGTAGTGAAAAAGCTGAGGCTTTAGGTGACTAATTTGCTAGTGTATTTTCGCAGCCTAATCGAGAGACCAGATCTTTTTGTGTGGATGCTTTTACTCTTTGAAAATGTGGCAGCAGGTCTACTTCCATAAAGAGTTTTGGAGTTCATTCTTAGGTCTCTAAAGTCTTTATGCATGAACCTTATGATGGTATTCCGCCAGTGGTTTTCAGGATATGGCTGATTCCCTCTGAGCCCCTATCTAATCTTTCTTTTCTATGAATATGAGTAGAGTTCCCAGTTTGCGAAAAGAAGCCGTGATTATCTCTATTTCTAAAAGAATCTACTGCTAACAAAGTCAATGACTTTTGACCGATTTTGTCGATGCTTATCAAAGTTTGGAAAAAAACATTAGGAATAACCATTGATAAGGAAGTTCAAACAAATACCACCGGAACTTCATGATTTTGTCTCATGTGGTTTGTTGAAAAGTGTTTCATTGGGAAAGCTTTCGATAAGATCGCTCATTCATCCTGCACAAGCTTCAGATTTTTGGAATCACTGGAAATCCACTCAACTGGTTCAGATCATTGTGAAAATCGGTTGATGACAGTCGGAGTTGGCGAGTCCACTTTCTGCATTTAAAAAAGGACAACCCAAGTAACTATTTTGTTCATGGACTCTATCCCATATTCTAGTAGGGTGCCTCAAAGCGGAGTTCTCTTTCCCTTATTATTTCTGATTT